CTTTTATACCTTCTCCACGCCCGCTGGGATTGCGTAATGATAAGGGACCTTTGAATCATTTTTTGTAATCCTTTCTATACTAAAAAGGGACCTTCGAATCAGTTTTGTAATCCTTTCTATACTAAAAAGGGACCTTCGAATCAGTTTTGTAATCCTTTCTATACTAAAAAGGGACCTTCGAATCAGTTTTGTAATTCTTTCTGTAATAAAAAGGGACCTTCGAATCAGTTTTGTAATCCTTTCTATACTAAAAAGGGAACTTCGAATCAGTTTTGTAATCCTTTCTATAATAAAAAGGGACCTTCGAATCAGTTTTGTAATCCTTTCTATACTAAAAAGGGACCTTCGAATCAGTTTTGTAATTCTTTCTGTAATAAAAAGGGACCTTCGAATCAGTTTTGTAATCCTTTCTATACTAAAAAGGGACCTTCGAATCAGTTTTGTAATTCTTTCTGTAATAAAAAGGGACCTTCGAATCAGTTTTTGTAATTCTTTCTGTAATAAAAAGGGACCTTCGAATCAGTTTTGTAATTCTTTCTGTAATAAAAAGGGACCTTCGAATCAGTTTTGTAATTCTTTCTGTAATAAAAAGGGACCTTCGAATCAGTTTTGTAATCCTTTCTATACTAAAAAGGGACCTTCGAATCAGTTTTGTAATTCTTTCTATAATAAAAAGGGACCTTCGAATCAGTTTTGTAATTCTTTCTGTAATAAAAAGGGACCTTCGAATCAGTTTTTGTAATTCTTTCTGTAATAAAAAGGGACCTTCGAATCAGTTTTGTAATTCTTTCTATACTAAAAAGGGACCTTCGAATCAGTTTTGTAATCCTTTCTATACTAAAAAGGGACCTTCGAATCAGTTTTGTAATCCTTTCTGTAATAAAAAGGGACCTTCGAATCAGTTTTGTAATCCTTTCTATAATAAAAGGGACCTTCGAATCAGTTTTGTAATCCTTTCTATAATAAAAGGGACCTTCGAATCAATTTTTTAATCCTTTTTATAATAAAAAAACACCTTGGAATCGAATTTGTAATTTATGCTATAATAACGAAAGAAATTTGGAGTCAAACTTTTAATTGGTTGGATATTAAATACGGGCAGGTTTCGAACTTTTCTTGTTTTGCTTGGTGAAAAAAGAGCTTTTGAATCCAAGTTTTAATCTCTTTCATAATAGAAAAGGACTCAGAGATCGAACTTTCAATCAACAGCAAAATAAAATGAAACTTTGAAATCGAACTTTTAACATATTCCGTAATAAAAAGCTGATTTGGAATTGAACAGAATTGAAATTGAACTTTAAACAAGTGTGTTACGAACTTTGGCCAATATGGTTCTCAAAAGGAACTTCTAAATAAATATTCTAAGTCAATATTTTTCAGTTTCGATTTGTAATTAGTAGTGGGAGTTAGTCTATTACAAGTATTAAATGAGTTACAACAAATTAGCTCCACTAAGGAGCTACCTTACCTTACCTTGAGGTGCTTCCGGGGCTTAGCGTCCCCGCGGCCCGGTCGTCGACCAGGCCTCCTGGTTGCCGGACTGATCAACCAGGCTGTTGGACGCGGCTGCTCGCAGCCTGACGTATGAGTCACAGCCTGGTTGATCAAGTATCCTTTGGAGGTGCTTATCCAGTTCTCTCTTGAACACTGTGAGGGGTCGGCCAGTTATGTCCCTTATGTGTAGTGGAAGCGTGTTGAACAGTCTCGGGCCTCTGATGTTGATAGTTCTCTCTTGAACACTGTGAGGGGTCGGCCAGTTATGTCCCTTATGTGTAGTGGAAGCGTGTTGAACAGTCTCGGGCCTCTGATGTTGATAGTTCTCTCTTGAACACTGTGAGGGGTCGGCCAGTTATGTCCCTTATGTGTAGTGGAAGCGTGTTGAACAGTCTTGGGCCTCTGATGTTGATAGTTCTCTCTTGAACACTGTGAGGGGTCGGCCAGTTATGCCCCTTATGTGTAGTGGAAGCGTGTTGAACAGTCTCGGGCCTCTGATGTTGATAGTTCTCTCTTGAACACTGTGAGGGGTCGGCCAGTTATGCCCCTTATGTGTAGTGGAAGCGTGTTGAACAGTCTCGGGCCTCTGATGTTGATAGTTCTCTCTTGAACACTGGAGGGGTCGGCCAGTTATGCCCCTTATGTGTAGTGGAAGCGTGTTGAACAGTCTCGGGCCTCTGATGTTGATAAAGTTCTCTCTCAGAGTACCTGTTGCACCTCTGCTCTTCAACGATTGGTGCTGATTGGATGAACATAATACATGGAATTTGTTCATGAGTAATGAGATGGAACTATTTATATCTATGAGAGAGCCGCTTGAATGAACAAGTTGACCAGACCACACACTAGAAAGTGAAGGGACAACGACGTATCGATCCGTCTTGGACCATTCTCAAGTCGATTGAGAACACACTTCTTTAAAGATCAATATATTTCAGCCACGATATTGTGACTCCTCGTCTGGACTTAGATGAGCATAATACGAGCATTTGGTAGAGAAAATGACTTGGAGCAAATTGTCTCATGTGAGGAAGCATCTTGAAGGAGGTTACCCACAGTTAAATGAGCAGGAAAACAAGGCCTTTAAGGTCATACCAGTTTACAGTGGAGGAAGCCTTGAGGGGTATTGACTGGAGCCTCTTACCCCCTCAGTCTGTCTGTCTAGCGGTGGAAATTCTTCTCCTTCGGGGCCGCAGTTGCATCATTGAGTCAAGAAACTGCTATTTTCTTTTCAATTCCGATGTTAAATGTTGTGTTTGTTTTTTTATCATTAGTAGAAATTTGATAGTTTCCCGCGCACTTGAATTGGTTGGTTCAGTTTTGGGTTCGCTTCCTGCAGAACCAAGTTCAATCTCCGGTGGTTCAAGTGGCTAGGCACTGTTTGTTCACTGTCTTCATGGTCTAGTTGTTTGTCCTCATATCCCAGCTCTTTGTCCTCATATCCTAGCTCCTTGTCCTCATATCCCAGCTCCTTGTCCTCATATGCTAGCTCCTTGTCCTCATATACCATCTCCTTGTCCTCATATCCCAGCTCTTTGTCCTCATATTCCAGCTTCTTGTCCTCATATCCCAGCTCCTTGTCCTCATATCCCAGCTCCTTGTCCTCATATCCCAGCTCCTTGTCCTCATATCCCAGCTCCTTGTCCTCATATCCCAGCTCCTTGTCTTCATATCCCAGCTCTTTGTCCTCATACCCCAGCTCCTTGTCTTCATATCCCAGCTCCTTGTCCTCATATCCCAGCTCCTTGTCCTCATATCCCAGCTCCTTGTCCTCATATCCCAGCTCCTTGTCCTCATATCCCAGCTCCTTGTCCTCATATCCCAGCTCCTCGTCCTCATACCCCAGCTCCTTGTCCTCATACCCCAGCTCCTTGTCCTCATACCCCAGCTCCTTGTCCTCATACCCCAGCTCCTTGTCCTCATATCCCAGCTCCTTGCCCTCATATCCCAGCTCCTTGTCCTCATACCCCAGCTCCTTGTCCTCATACCCCAGCTCCTTGTCCTCATACCCCAGCTCCTTGTCCTCATATCCCAGCTCCTTGCCCTCATATCCCAGCTCCTTGTCCTCATATCGCTTCTAAGTTCTATACACTCCTACTGACTAAGCACTTTCTCCTCATTATAACTTTCAATATTAATTAAGTCAGATGCTCCCCAACTCAACCCTGATAAACATCTAATTATATTGTTGTATTTTCTATTACATTGTAACCCCATAATCTGAAACTAATTCTGGGAATGACGTTAAATCAGGACGATATCACTTCATTAGAATGATATCGCTATGTCAGACAGATGTCACTAAATGATAAGACAGATGTTCGGAGATCACTTCCAGTATTGAGCTTGATATCTCTTGTTTTAATCACAATCATTTATTTCGTATATGACAGTGAACTTGCAGATTCACAAATTTAATAATCTTCTAAACAAACAATTTCCTAATCGTCTCGTATAGAAAACGGGTCTGCATTGTTTGTGATGATGAGTGTGATGAGTATGTGTGTGTGATGAGTATGAGTGTGTGATGATTATGAGTGTGTGATGAGTATGGGTGTGTTTGTGTGTCAGTAAACTGCAGCCCTTGAGAGGTCGTTGAGATGAGTTTACTGTTGAGTGTATGATATTCTCATCTACTGATGAGAATATCAGTAGGAGCCTTAAGGAGGATTCGAACCCGCTCGCCTGGTATTCCCAAGCTAGTGCCCTAGACCACTACTCCACGACGCGGTCAAAAATCAATTCAACCTGAGATTCAGGTGAACCCACTGGAAGTCCTGAGGCTCCCAACCGGAGCCCAAACCCGGGGTTGCACACATTGCCCCTGTGTGCTCTCTGGCTTGTGGTCAAGTAGTTCACCTCCAACGCAACTCGTTAAATGCCAGAGTTAAAGTCTGTAGGAGAACATCGACGCGTGCGTAAGTAGTAATCCAAGCCATTTGCACCCATCAGGACGGCCTAGCTCAATTGATCAAGTCTGCAGCAGACATCGATGTGTGCCTAAGTGGTAATCCAAGCCATCGTAACCGTTTGGACGGCCTATCTCAATTGATCCAAGTCTGAAGGAGACATCGATGCGTGCCTAAGTAGTAACCCAAGCCATCTCTGACGTGGGTTATAGGGACTTTGTAGAACACTCACGCAACGTCCCATTTCCTAGACCTGTTTCTCAAACCTTCAGTTAATGAAAAAAAAAGCTCAAATATTGATCCAACAATTCAAGGAAGACGTCGCTAGCGGGACGCCGCTGCTACCTCTTGCATCACTCGCGGACTAAGTGTCCTAATACCACTCTCTACACCACCCCCTCACTCTTCCCGCCGCTCTCTTAAAAGACTTGAACTGTTTTTGCATATGTAAATATTGGATTTTCTCAGTGGTCGCCTCACACACAAAGCCAGGTCACGGTCTTTAAGGGGATGTGACCTCCAGAGCAGAAGGGAAGGAAGGGGGCGTTGCCAGTCGAAGGGGCAGGCAGCGAGGGTCGACCGGGTATATAAGGGCGCGAGGTGGCCGGAATGGTCAGTCGACAACATGTTGGTGTCAGTGTTCAGTGTTGGTGAGTGCCCCGGCCCGCTCCGCCCACCTTAGTGGTGTGAACCTCGGAGGCGACTTACCTGTCATGAAATGCAAAAAAAGTTTCAATTTATAACACAAGATATAGTAAAATACACACAAATTTTGATAAGAGAAGGTCTTATCACCCCCCCTCAGAGGCTTGTACGCAATGTGTGGGAGTGTTTGTGGTTTGAGAGGAAGAACTTGATGACTGACCCCAAGACGCGTCTGTACAAGTAACCCCTCTCCTGCTGGGGTCAGGTGTACGACGGCCCGGTCTCCGCTGACTGACGACATTCAACTTCCCCGCCACTGATCCTGACAGTCGATTGACTGACTGACAACATCGCCGTCGTTCCCACTCCTAGGCCTACTGGAAGTGACTGTGACACCTGACTGGTAGTGCTTCTGTGGTCGCCACTGCTGATAGTGCAAGTGTGGGGCACTAGACAGGATACATCGACGCCGATGCTGACAGCCACACACACCTCGCTGGTAATGCTGCCCCTTACTGACACCCCTGACAAGCCTTCACTGACACCACGACCATCAGCGCTTATTGCTGACAGCTAGTAGTGCTACACAGAAAACATCGTCTATTCGACGACCCTGTTAACAGCCTCACACCTTACTGCTAATGCAGCCTTCAGTGACAGCCTTCACCGACATATCTGTCAGCACTCATTGCCGACAGCCAGACATTCACCCAGGAGCCCGCCTAGCACACCATATCAAACCAGGAAGTAATTCTACTCACTCAGAGTAACAGGTCTGACATTTTCCATGTTCAAACGCATCCAGTCACTCAAGAAAAAGAGCTCTTGACATTAGGTCGATGAACTCATTATATAAAGGTTTATTATGGCCCTTGTGGGTGATGAATGTCAAGGGTTTCTGAAGTGAGACTTTTACACATGTTTATGCATACAAACATATACATACGTACGTACATACATACATACATACATACATACATACATACATACATACATACATACATACATAATATCACAGAGATATTAGAAAGAACTTTTTTAGTGTCAGAGTGGTTGACAAATGGAATGCATTAGGAAGTGATGTGGTGGAGGCTGACTCCATACACAGTTTCAAGTGTAGATATGACAGAGCCCGATAGGCTCATGAATCTGTACACCTGTTGATTGACGGTTGAGAGGCGGGACCAAAGAGCCAGAGCTCAACCCCCGCAAACACAACTAGGTGAGTACATACATATATACACGGACACAATACAGATATAGATAAATAAGCAGTTATATACCATGACTGACGAGGAAATAAGGATAAAGTGACTGATAGATGTAGATATGAGAATCGAGTGACTGGTAGATGTAGATATAAGACTCGAATGACTGGTAGATGGGGAAACAAAAGCCATGTGAGAGACTGGTAGACTGGTGGACGAACCCTCTGACTGGTAAATATGACGTCATAAGCCCAGTTACTAGTAAATGAAGAGACAAGGCACTGGTAGATGAAGAGGACCAGGAGAGCCAAGGCTACATTACACAATGTTGCCATGCGCTGCAGAACGCATACCTATAAGACGCATAATGTTGCCATCCCACATTCCAGTGACGCTGGCAACGACGGCGCTGGTGACGGCGGCGCCGCAGGGAGGATACTTCAACTTCCCGCCATTATCGCCATCCTACGTCAGCTTCCTCGAAGGGCAAGAAAGCAAAATTCAGAAACAGCTGTTGCCAGCCCCAACCGGACTAGCGGTGAGTGGCTTTAGGGGAGGTAATTAGCTAAGTGTAATCACCTGAGTGTAGTTATAGGATAAGAATTACGCTCGTGGTGTCCCGTGTTTGTCCTCTTTGTCGTATGATACTTTGAAACTACTGACGGTCTTGGCCTCCACCACCTTCTCACCTAACTTGTTCCAACCGTCTGCCACTCTGTTTGCGAAAGAAAACTTTCTAATATTCCTTCGGCAGCTTTGTTTAGTAAGCTTAAATGTATGACACCTTGTTCTTGCCGTTCCAATATTTAAGAACTCTGCTTTATCAATTTTGTCGATTCCCGTTGCTATTTTGTACGTAGTATTAATCATATAGCCTCTTTTTCGTCAAATAGCTTTGGTATATTTGACGCCTTTAACCTCTCCTCATAGCTCTTGCCTTTTAGTTCCGGAAATCATTTTATTTCATGTCATTCCATCTTTTCCAGTTCCCTGGTGTGCTTCTTGAGATGTGGCCACCATATACTTGCTATATATTCTAATTTTGGTATGGAGAAGGGTGATATATAGGGAGGAGGGAGAGTATAACAAGAATGAATCGCTACATTAAGTCTTTTTGCCATAATGTCCTCTTAAGCACATTCTAGCTTGATATTAACTGTTTTTTTTTAACTCTGATTTCGTTACAATGTTCAGGAAATTCTTCGCCCTTCATTTTGTAAGCTGTTGTGAAAATTAGAAAATGAGTCTCACGAATAAAAAATATTTTATCTTTCGTGTTGTTTAAGGATAATTTTCTCGCAAATCTGTTTAGCTATTATGCCACTCCAGGCCCTATATTAATCTTAAAATGTGTATATATACTTAAAATGTGTATATATAAAATGTGTATATATATATCAGAAAGAAGAGTGTGTTAATTTTGTTTCACTGTATATGTTTTGATTAAGGAGTCGTCAGTGGAGAGCTATACTGGCTTAACTCTTTCTCTTCATAATTTCCTTTCCTTTCAGTCGTCAGTGAGAGGAGAGGACCAGGACGACCACCACCACGACCACCACCACGACCACCACGTAGGCCTCCAGTGGCTTAGAGACTCAGTTCCTGGCGAACCTGGAGTAGACTACCCAATCCTGTGGAAGGTCCCCAGTACCGTCTTCTCCTGCCAGGGCCGACAGCCAGGTAAGATTGTGTAAGATTGTGACCCCAACAGCCTGGTAGACCTGTCATGCGTGTAAGACTGTGACACCAACAGCCTGGTAAACCTGTCATGCGTCTAAATATCAAGACGTGCTAATTCAGTCTCTCAGGTGATTAATTATGGTAACATTTACCACATAAACAATGTCGAAACAGCTTTAGTGTACAAGACAAATTAACGATAAAAGTTTCCTTGAATGCTTATATAGTAACTTTGCATTTAAAAGGAAAACGGCATTTATTCGTTGTTTATAATTTGATATTTAAGGGGTAACTGCAGCAGTGAGTGGCAACCCTTGGAGGAGATTTTGTTTGATTAAATATATTCATATATTTAGACGTTTATGAGACGCTGATTGTTGCGTAAATATTGTTTTAATGTTGCCTCGCGTTCGTGTAAATATGAATTGTATATTATTATTATGATTGGAAGGAGAGATGACTGAGAGAGGAACTATTCCTTTAAGTGTACACCTCTTTCCGGTAACACCTTCAAGTGGGACCCCCTTGAGTTTGACAACTTTGGGTATTGCCCAGTTTAAAAAAACGTCGAGTGTGACTCGCTTTAGGATGACCTACCTCGAGTGTGGCTTGCTTTAGGGTGATCTCCCTCGAGTGACTCGCTTTAGGGTGACCTCCCTCGAGTGTGGCTTGCTTTAGGATGACCTACCTCGAGTGTGGCTTGCTTTAGGGTGACCTACCTCGAGTGTGGCTTGCTTTAGGGTGACCTCCCTCGAGTGTGACTCACTCTAGGGTGAGTGTGACTCCTTTCAACTGTCCTGTATGGATGGAGCCGAAATGAGCGAAGTTATCACTGTTAAGTTGTAACTTATTCCTAGTTAATTTGTATTTTTTGTGTCACTAAATTAAATTAACAACATCATACTATTCGAAAGCGTCGAGAACAATAAAATAGCTGACGTTCTGTGCCATTGCATCCAAAGCTTTAATGGTAATTACAAAGTCAGTTGCATCTTGTTAATTAGCAGTGTTAAAGGAAGGTTTAACAGCTAGTGATGGTTTAGTTTGGTGTTGAGCTTAAGACCTATTAACGTGTGGAGGGTCATTAAGGCCTATTAACCTCTGGAGGGGAATTATATTAAGGCCTGTCAACCTCTGGAGGATTATTAAGGCCACCACAATACCTTACTGACCATCCAGCAACTGAAGTACACTTCAGTCCTGAACATAGTACGGTACTAAAGTAAACTTATCAGTAGTATATATGCACATACGCTTCGGTGTAAGTATCCCTTTGTTACTATCTTCTCTTCCTCAGGATATTATGCGGATGTAGACACAAGGTGCCAAGTATTCCACATCTGTAATGAGGCGGAAACCAAGTCATTCCTTTGCCCCAATGGAACCATCTTCAATCAAGAGCATTTTACCTGCGAGTGGTGGCACTCCGTCCAGTGCGAGACCTCGGAAAACTTCTACATCCTCAACAGGAACATCGGCGTGGTAGGCGAAGACTCCCAGGAGAGAGTTTCAGTGAAAGGAGATGACTTTGGCCGGCGAGTGGAGACTCAGACACCTCAGGATATTATTCAACAAGTGCAGCAGAGTCAACAAGTGGCCCAGGAAGTGCCACTTTTCCCACAGGTTCCTCAGCCGATCACCGTCGGGGACACTCAGAAGTTGATTGATTTTGAGTTCAAAAGACCACTTGATGTAGAGGATACCAGCGAAGTTCAGCTGCAAGATACAGACGCTTTTGGTCAAGAACCTCAGCTTGTAGAAGCTGGCGGCATCCAACAAGACTTTAGCCTTGTTCCCGAGGTGGTTCAAGAAGTTCAACAGGACCATGATGTTGCTCCAGAAGTGAGTGAAGTGGTTCAACCCGACGTGGACCTTGTTCCAGAGGTGGCTGGAGAGGTTCAGCAAGTTCCAGAGGTGACTGGAGAGGTTCAGCAAGTTCCAGAGGTGACTGGAGAGGTTCAGCAAGTTCCAGAGGTGACTGGAGAGGTTCAGCAATTTCCAGAGGTGACTGGAGAGGTTCAGCAAGTTCCAGAGGTGACTAGAGAGGTTCAGCAAGTTCCAGAGGTGACTGGAGAGGTTCAGCAAGTTCCAGAGGTGACTGGAGAGGTTCAGCAAGTTCCAGAGGTGACTGGAGAGGTTCAGCAAGTTCCAGAGGTGACTGGAGAGGTTCAGCAAGTTCCAGAGGTGACTGGAGAGGTTCAGCAAGTTCCAGAGGTGACTGGAGAGGTTCAGCAAGTTCCAGAGGTGACTGGAGAAGTTCAGCAATTTCCAGAGGTGACTAGAGAGGTTCAGCAAGTTCCAGAGGTGACTGGAGAGGTTCAGCAAGTTCCAGAGGTGACTGGAGAGGTTCAGCAAGTTCCAGAGGTGACTGGAGAGGTTCAGCAAGTTCCAGAGGTGACTGGAGAGGTTCAGCAAGTTCCAGAGGTGACTGGAGAGGTTCAGCAAGTTCCAGAGGTGACTGGAGAGGTTCAGCAAGTTCCAGAGGTGACTAGAGAGGTTCAGCAAGTTCCAGAGGTGACTGGAGAGGTTCAGCAAGTTCCAGAGGTGACTGGAGAGGTTCAGCAAGTTCCAGAGGTGACTGGAGAGGTTCAGCAAGTTCCAGAGGTGACTGGAGAGGTTCAGCAAGTTCCAGAGGTGACTGGAGAGGTTCAGCAAGTTCCAGAGGTGACTGGAGAGGTTCAGCAAGTTCCAGAGGTGACTGGAGAGGTTCAGCAAGTTCCAGAGGTGACTGGAGAGGTTCAGCAAGTTCCAGAGGTGACTGGAGAGGTTCAGCAAGTTCCAGAGGTGACTGGAGAGGTTCAGCAAGTTCCAGAGGTGACTGGAGAGGTTCAGCAAGTTCCAGAGGTGACTGGAGTTCGACAAGATCATGTCTTTACCCCAGAAGTGACTGAAGTTCGACAAGATCATGTCTTTACTCCTGAAGTTCGACAAGATCATGTCTTTACCCCAGAAGTGACTGAAGTTCGACAAGATGTCCTTACTCCTGAAGTGCCTGAAGTTCAACAAGATCATGTCTTTACCCCAGAAGTGCCTGAAGTTCAACAAGATCATGTCTTTACTCCTGAAGTGCCTGAAGTTCAACAAGATCATGTCTTTACTCCTGAAGTGCCTGAAGTTCAACAAGATCATGTCTTTACCCCAGAAGTGCCTGAAGTTCAACAAGATCATGTCTTGACCCCAGAAGTGCCTGAAGTTCAACAAGATCATGTCTTTACCCCAGAAGTGACTGAAGTTCGACAAGATGTCCTTACTCCTGAAGTGCCTGAAGTTCAACAAGATCATGTCTTTACCCCAGAAGTGCCTGAAGTTCAACAAGATCATGTCTTTACCCCAGAAGTGCCTGAAGTTCAACAAGATCATGTCTTGACCCCAGAAGTGCCTGAAGTTCAACAAGATCATGTCTTTACCCCAGAAGTGCCTGAAGTTCAACAAGATCATGTCTTTACTCCTGAAGTGCCTGAAGTTCAACAAGATCATGTCTTTACCCCAGAAGTGACTGAAGTTCGACAAGATGTCCTTACTCCTGAAGTGCCTGAAGTTCAACAAGATCATGTCTTTACCCCAGAAGTGCCTGAAGTTCAACAAGATCATGTCTTTACCCCAGAAGTGACTGAAGTTCGACAAGATGTCCTTACTCCTGAAGTTCAACAAGATCATGTCTTTACCCCAGAAGTGCCTGAAGTTCAACAAGATCATGTCTTTACCCCAGAAGTGCCTGAAGTTCAACAAGATCATGTCTTTACCCCAGAAGTGACTGAAGTTCGACAAGATGTCTTTACTCCTGAAGTGACTGAAGTTCGACAAGATCATGTCTTTACCCCAGAAGTGCCTGAAGTTCAACAAGATCATGTCTTTACTCCTGAAGTGCCTGAAGTTCAACAAGATCATGTCTTTACCCCAGAAGTGCCTGAAGTTCAACAAGATGTCCTTACTCCTGAAGTGCCTGAAGTTCAACAAGATCATGTCTTTACCCCAGAAGTGCCTGAAGTTCAACAAGATCATGTCTTTACCCCAGAAGTGACTGAAGTTCGACAAGATGTCCTTACTCCTGAAGTGCCTGAAGTTCAACAAGATCATGTCTTTACCCCAGAAGTGCCTGAAGTTCGACAAGATGTCCTTACTCCTGAAGTTCAACAAGATCATGTCTTTACCCCAGAAGTGCCTGAAGTTCAACAAGGCTACGATATTGTTCCAGAAATTGTTCAGCAAGCGCAAGAAGACCTTGTCCCGGTTCCTAGTGTGACTGAAGTTGTCCAGGAAGATCAGCAAGACCAAGAACTTGTTTCCGAACTACCTGAAGTTAGTCAACAAGACAATGACCTCATTCCAGGGGTGAAGGAAGTTGAACAAGCTCAACAAGACTCAGACATTGTTCCTGGAGTGACTGGAGAAGTATCTCCAGGCCAACTGGAGACTGATATACCATTTGGAGGAACTGTTCTTGATCAGGACACTAGACAAGACTTTGCTGGTGTTTCTGAGGTGTCTGACACACTCACTACCCTCCAGATTCAGGAAGCTGCAACTACTGTACCCACAGAGGAGGTACAGCAAGAGTTCACTTCTGTACCTGATGAACTGTTCCCTCAAACTGAAGACTTCATCTCTTCACAAGATACCCAGCCAGCCATCACATTACCCGAGCCGGAGCAGGAGACGCACGTTGTATCTCAGGTGATCGACGAGTCTGATTCCAGTGTAGCCTTGCCTATCCTTGAGGGCTCTGTTAAATGTGAAGAACATGCTGTCGTCTGCCCAACACGAGACAATGAAATCCCTCAACTGTACGGTGTTCCTGAGAAAGGTTTTGCAGGTCCTCTTTTAGAGGTTGATGTCCGTCAAGGATTTCCGTCAGGTGTCGAGCCCGTGCTAGGGGAAGAGTTCATTGCTCCAGGTGTCTCTCAGTTGAGCTCTGGTGATGCAATTTCTGGAGATGATTCTCACCAACAGCAGGAACATTTGCCTGTGCCCAGTGATCACACTCAAGAACAGGTTAGCAGTGATATTGAAAGTGGATCCTTGTCGGGAATACTCTCAACACCTGTGCTTATTGTACCTCTGGTCATTGAGACAGAACAAAATGGAGCTACACCTCTACAGTTCCCTGAAGTGGATGAGCATAGTCCAGCCTTACTATCTGGAGAGGTGCATGGAATCTCTCAGGTTGGTGGCGAGGGAGAAGCTTCCCTCCCAGTAGAAGGTGGACTGGAACATGCAGCAGGCCTAGAAGCTGGAGATAGTAGTGTGAGGGACGGAGTTACACCACTCGGTCCTCTCCTTTCTGCATTTCCCGCCACACTTGTTGCCGGGGTCATTGATCAAGCAGTTAGAGAGAGCCCAGATGGACAACACGTTGACTCTGTACCATTTGATGGTATTAGCCAGGAACAAGAGGTCCAGCAAGCTGTCTTCATTCAGGAAAATTTAATTGATCAAGAAGTGCTACAGAAGGAAGATGAGAAGGTCAGTTTGCCCGATCAAGAGGTTCAGGGGCAAGAGGAATTAAAAACTTTTGATTTGACTGAAGAAACTCCGACTCTCCTCAGTTCTTTGGATTTGTCCTCTGGTGTCGACATAGCAGTGCAAGGTGACGAGTTAACGGATCAAGGTTTTCCTCATGAACGTCCTCTAGTACACAAGACAGAAGAGACTGCTTTTGATGCTACAGATAGCACAAGGGTGGCTGAGGAAGTAGAGGAACCAGTTACTGATATTTCACATCCAGCAGAAGCTGAAGAATCTTTCACTTTTGGTGAACCTCAAGAGCATATATCTAAAACGGAAATTCCAAATCTTTTCACCGAGTCTCATGCTGATGTCGACTTCGGAGACGGTGTATCACTATTCTTTGCGGTAGGGACAGAAGAACCCGTGACACTCGGTGAAACTGAACGGCCCGAGTTGCCACTGACTTCAGATGATCAACATCCACTCACATCCAATGTAACCTCAACTACACAAGTTGATGGAGATGTACTAGAGCATCGTGTTATATCGCAAGAGGACCAACCCAGGGAGCAACAAACTGACGCTATCTTAGAACACCAAGATGCTGCCATTCTTGCCCAATCTCATGACACACTCAGTTTCCCCAAAACTCAAGAAGAGGAACTTACCACTTTCATCGCTGTCGAGCAGCAAGAGACTACTACACTACCCTCAGACAGCCAAGATGATGCTGGCACGTTCTCCTCGGTCAGCCAAGATGATGCTGGTACGCTCTCCACGGTCAGCCAAGATGATGCTGGTACGCTCTCCACGGTCAGCCAAGATGATGCTGGTACGCTCTCCACAGTCAGCCAAGATGATGATGGTACGCTCTCCTTGGTCAGCCAAGATGATGCTGGTACATTAACCTCACTTAAACAAGAAGGTAGCATCACACTTACCCCTGTCAGTCATGATGAGAGTACCACATTGCCCTCAGTCAGTCAAGAAGAGAGCATTGCATTTATTCCAGCCACTCTGGACGACAGAGCCTCATTCACCCCTGAAGAGCCTGCCACAGACGAGACCATTGACCAAGAAGCCCCAGCTTTCCCCACAATCAGCCCAGGCACAGACAAGACCGTTGACCAAGAAGCCCCAGCTTTCCCCACAATCAGCCCAGCCACATACGAGACCGTTGATCAAGAAGCCCCAACTTTCCCCACAATCAGCCCAGCCACAGACAAGACCGTTGACCAAGAAGCCCCAGCTTTCCCCACAATCAGCCCAGCCACATACGAGACCGTTGATCAAGAAGCCCCAACTTTCCCCACAATCAGCCCAGCCACAGACAAGACCGTTGACCAAGAAGCCCCAGCTTTCCCCACAATCAGCCCAGCCACATACGAGACCGTTGACCAAGAAGCCCCAGCTTTCCCCACAATCAGCCCAGCCACAGACACGCCCTTCTCGGTCTTCGTGCAAGAGAGCATCTCCTCAGAGCTCTCCTCTGGAATACTATCTTCACTCTTACCCCCAGAGACACCACAAGGCCAGGGCGAGTTCCAGGGAGCAGTGCAGGAGCAGGAAGACTCCCGACCATTCCATCCAGTACCGGAAAAGGAAGACCGCCCTCTAGTGAGGTTCTCGCCTACGTTCATCAGTAGTTACCTGCCGCCTCACCCGTAACTCACACCTCACTTGACGAATAGAATTCTAGTTTTATATCCGTTTTTCACATGTATTTATAAATGTCCGTGTGTGTATGAAATTAGCATTGCTCAATATGTGTAGTGGTACATAAGGTTATTTCCGTTCGAGAGACCCATGGAAGGAGGAGTCAAACCTGGTGGGCTCATTTCCTTGTTGGGCGGGGAAAATAGTAGGCGCTGTATTTTAGCGGTCTTCTGTGTGACTCAATTTTTGTATTTGAGTAACCAAAGAAAAATGAATGATACTCTGGCTTAAAAATACAAAAAAACTTCCTCTTTTTCATTATTTCATTATCCTTCCCCTTTGTTAACAGTCGGGTACAGTTGTCCGGGTACAGTTCACCAGATATAGTTGATCAGGTACAGCTGTAGCTGAGTGTGTCTTGGTTCAGTGCACTAGCAGGTCAAACAGTTGGGCAAGTTTCCTTTCACCTGATGACTCTGTTCACCTTCCAGTCAAATAAATAAGTGGTACAATAGCAAAAAATTTGAGCCACTAATTTTATAGACCACCTTTGATAACAAGAGTGTGTCATTTATGCATTATTGGAATCTTATACTGCAAATTTTGCCCCTTCTAAAGGACTCCTGACATGAGATAATATTTAATTTCGGGCGCTGTAATATCTGCCCCTTAAGTTTGGCGTATCAGAGTTGCCAAAGTCCAAAGTCAAAGTTCAAGTTCAAAGTCCTAAATAAGATCAACAAATGGAATGGAAATATAATCAATGACTAGAACCTTGACAAGTGTAAAACTAGTCAATTGAATCCAATCTACATTTCTACAACAAAGAAGGTACAAGGTAGATATATTTTGAACAGGATTAAGGTACTGTATAGGGAAATGATTACTGCCAAGCAGCTCCTCGTCCACCAGCCATTCAGGATGGTGGACGACCATCCAGGTGAAATTTAAAACCATACTTGATGAATTTATGCCCAAGATCAATGGTGGAGACCATGGTGGAGACCAAACTGTGTGCGTGTGTGGTAAATCAGATAATACGGGCCCCACCCCATCAGAGTTAGCCAGACATCCAAAATAGCTTAACGTTTTACTGGAAATGTCCAAAAATTTTAAAATTTTCATTCGGGTTTTCGTTCAGCAAAACATTTTGATAACCCTGGTCGGGAGCTGGTCGGCCGAGCGGACAGCACGCTGGACTTGTGATCCTGTGGTCCCGGGTTCGATCCCGGGCGCCGGCGAGAAACAATGGGCAGAGTTTCTTTCACCCTATGCCCCTGTTACCTAGCAGTAAAATAGGTACCTGGGTGTTAGCCAGCTGTCACGGGCTGCTTCCTGGGGGTGGAGGCCTGGTCGAGGACCGGGCCGCGGGGACACTAAAAAGCCCCGAAATCATCTCAAGATAACCTCAAGATAACCCGAGATTTTGACTTGCGAGATCAAAAACTCAAACTCAAATTTAAAGTATTTGGATCATCATTTTACAGAAATCTCGGTAATCCAAATTCCGACTCGGGTTAAAAGACAAAAAAAATTCAAACGTGAATTCATTCCAACCTACAGTACTGTACTAGGAGATTCTGGCTACAGGAATCCCAATTACCGAGCTCTTGTAGATCTCGTCTTACTCGCTATAGTCCCCAGAAACTGATGGATGCCTACTACTACAACTACTACTACTACAACTACTACTACTACTACTACTACTACTACTACAACTACTACTACTACTACTACAACTACTACTACTACAACTACTACTACTACCACCACTACAGTACTCCACTTTCATCTCTGTTTAGGTGCTCATAAATTTAATCTTTGATCTGGCTGACATATGACCAACACTATCCACCTTTGGTGAAGAAAAAGGAGAATAAACAAAGAGATATACAGCTATTAGAATTAGAATCAAAAGTAGAATAATCAATAGTGGATGGAAAGGAAGAAATTAAAGTATAAGAAAAAATTAAGAACAAACAAAAGATAATAAAACTAAGAATAGTAATTAGAATAAAAGATGAAAATAGAAAGTAAAAATGTATAAGACTTAAAAGAACAAAGAAAAGAAGATTTTTAAATATATATCATATGAATAAAGGCAATGGAAGAAGCTCTATTGGACCAAATGAGGCGGCTCCTATTGACCCATACAAGGGAGCTCCTATTGACCCAAATGAAGCAGCTCCTCTTGACCCATATAAGGTAGCTCCTCTTGACCCATATAAGGTAGCTCCTACTAATTCATTTAAACCAGCTCCTATTTAAAGGAGTAGGCACCTGTAGAACACTAAAAAAACAAAATGTATTAGAACAACAACAAAAATAAGGAGGTTTATCTCGATAAAAGTGATATCCTTTTCCCTTTCATCCAATACAACTTAAAATATATAATTATCACTAGAAGGTATCAAGCCAAGAAGACAATGTATCACTGTGATACGGCTAACATTAATAAGATCAAACAAGAATGAAACAAAAGTCAAATTTCTTACAAATATGTACTTCGTTTTATTGGTCTCAAATATTTCAATATTTAGGAACGGGGAAAATTTACAAAAAAAAAAAAGATTTCAATTGCATTACTATAGACATTTTGTATAATGCAAATGAATGCATAAAACACAGAAGGATAACAGGAGTGACAACAGATAACTAAATAGCTCTAAGCAGACTATTACATTCCTTGGTAATGCACAACACAAAGTGAAATTAAGCATTGGGGCCGTACAATGGAATCTAACCCGCGTCCCTCAACTTGGGGGATATGCAGGTTTGATCCCATCACACCGTCTCAATACCGACTCCCAATTCATCATGTTCGTGTGATTTCATCGTACAAAGTAACACTCCTTCAGCATTGTCCTTTCGGTGATTTTACTGGAGATCACTTATGCGGGAACAGCTACCAAACTAGCACGCATGATATAAATATATATGCAGAAGAAAAGGGTTCAGCTTGGAAAAAATACGCAACACTATTGTTGACCAAAAATCAAGAGAATATGATTCACTAAAGACCTTCAAATAAAACCATTACAAGCTACCATTATTTTGAACACCATACATCACTAGGATCAATATAGTCGTTATTATTTATACATTACTCTATAAAAAAAGCACCAAATTGGGGATAAAACACAGAGCAAGTGCATCAAAACAACTGTACACGACAAAACAGAACACGTCTTCACAACGTAAATATCCTTCAAGAAACACAAATGCTCAAAGCATCAAAATCTTTAATGAACCGTTTAAATAAAATGTTGATCCTTCATAAATCCTGACGAGGTTTTGCATCACAAATTTAGAGCTTCGGAGAGAACAATCAGGCCATCAAAAAACCATCTTTGAAAATCAAACTACTGATCAAGATCTGACCAGCTGGCACCATAAACAAGTCATGACAGGTTCTTACTACACCAATATAAAAAATACTATTCCATTTAGCACAATCAGCATAATATTACATAAACTAAATTGTCTTAGAAACATGATAACCTCAAGCAAGCGATGAGTCACAATAACGTGGCTAAAGTATGTTGACCAGACCACACACTAGAAGGTAAAGGGACGACGACGTTTCGGTCCGTCCTGGACCATTCTCAAGTCGATTGTGAATGATCGACTTGAGAATGGTCCAGGACAGACCGAAACGTCGTCGTCCCTTCACCTTCTAGTGTGTGGTCTGGTCATGATAACCACAAATTTTGTTACTTTCATCTAGCTGAATAGTGAAAAAATCATATATTACACCACATTAGTTTTATCAAATTGCTTAAAATTAGTATCATGCATGAATGTTCTTTTTAAATAGCAGTTTAATGAGTTTACAGCCAGCAAAGGTGTCTGCAGCAAGTGCACTATACGTAGCTGTATTTCTCGTTCCCATCCTTAGTAGTAAAATCCGAGCTAGCGTGTCTACCGTGGTGTCTCCCGATAATAATATCGCTCTGATTATTATTATTATTCAGCGAACGAGAGGTTTCCACTATAATATTTTTCCCTTTATGACAAAATACTAATGAACCCAAATACAGTCTGAGTTATACTTACACATTTCTTGCTATTTTATAGCCTTAAATATCTAGTAAAAATTACAGAAAGCAAACTTCACCCTTCACAAATTATGTTTGCATTCTTCCTTATTAAAATATAGACAATGTTACATAATAAAGTACCTACTCTGTATCAACTTTAAAAATTTATTGTTATCTATAATATACATATGCAAAACTACAGAGATTATGAGGCGTATCCTCACAATACTTTTGTGAAACGCATCGCCCCCTCACAACATTCTCACCACCCCACACTAGGGAAGCACAGCCATTTATTCCGAGTCAGTTATTCACGAACCCAAGAGACATCAGAATGAATGCACATACAATCCTGTGTTCAATGCTGAACACTCGTCATCACTATCTTTTTGTACCAATGACATGTTTCTAATTACAAGTGCAGTTGCCACCACTACACATTGTTGCTAAAAATGTGAATACCATAAATGAGTTGTTCTAAATATGACAACATACAAAATCAAACATCAATATTGAAGCGTTCATATTCTGTATCACATCAATGTTTGGTAGTAATGAATTTTATTATTAAAAACTAAGTAGGATACGAAACTTAACTTGCACTTTCAAGAACACAACAAATAGTAAATGTCACACAAGACCCCCAGAGAGCATGGTCCGTGTCCCTTCAGGTCTCGGCAGAAAGATGCGTCAGGTAGTGCGTGGTGACCATATTCAGTTCAGTGAGGGCGTAGTCGTGAGTGAGGGGCAGACCGGACAGTTGTTGAGAGAGCACCTGCGTTGCATCGGTGCCCTCCCCCAATACTGCCCTCAGAACCCCGACCACCACGCGGCTCATCTCCGACACACACAACCTTAAAATGCAAGTTTCAGATTTTACCTTTAAGTACAACATTTATTCAATAGTGCACCAAATCCCTGTACTTATGAGACATTATAAACAGGACTTAATTCAATGCTAAAAGACTAGGAATACTTACCAAAGTATATCCAAGTTCAACTTGTTCTGCACTGATACTTACAACTTTAATCCCATATAATTAAATATAAATAAAAATTATAAAATAATAAATATTCTATAAACAAAAATCAAATGACTAAAAATCAAAATTTTAATCTGCACTATTATATGCAGGCGATGAGTCACAATAACGTGGCTAAAGTAAGTTGACCAGACCACACACTAGAAGGTGAAGGGACGACGACGCTTCGGTCCGTCCTGGACCATTCTCAAGTCGATGCACTACTCTATCATCTGGCATCTTTCAATGTAATAACCCAGCAAAGAGCAGTTATCGTCATATGTTGATGCATGGATTAATGCAGTTATCATCATATGCAGATCTTCATTATTATTATCTGCGTTTTATACGTATTATGTCATCATGGATATAACAGCTCTATGTGGATGTAACGGAGTTTACCGTGACATAATACAACAATCCTGCTATCGTTTCATGGTTACTTTACCATGTGAATGCGGTTATCAACACACAAATGTCACCACGTGAATGCACTAATCGTCACTGCATAAATTTCCGCCATTATTACACGATACGAATACCAATGATGTTCACCATACTTCAATACTTTTGAAGTTCAAAATTAATTGCCTTGCCCTATTAACCTGTAGCACTTTACCTGTAGCAAGTTCCTAAGTGTTTTTTTTTTTTTGAGATATATACAAGAGTTGTTACATTCTTGTACAAACTTGTTCTTGTTCTAATGTCTTTGTGTATTGTGACACATCGACATATCCTGTCCTTGAATATTTACCTATGTGTAGCAGTCTTTACCTATGTATTACCTATGTGTATTTACCTATGTGTAGCAGTCTGACACTTTAGGTTATTCAGCCTGGAGCAAAGTGCTAGAAGACGTGGCCGAAGTTGCTCCAGCATGGCAGGCGTAGGGTCGGCAGATTTCTTCATGTCCTCCACCACAGAGCATACATCCAGGTAATCCGCATACACTCCTCCACCAATGGCCCAATCCACAACAGTACTGCATACGCCATCATCACGAAGTTGGTCCAAGAAGCTGTGAAGGTAGTGATGGTCCTCTGTGATAAAGAAAAAAGTAATCTCAATTATCAAAGGTAATTAGGACCAGAAGCTAATGTACCTTTTAAACTTTTATGTTTTATGGTATTTACAAAGCACAAAAGGTTTTAAATAGCACAAATTATAGAGTCAAATACTTGCATGTGTGTACATTTTGATGTGAGACATGATGAAGTACAAAATGTAAATTCTACTGTAGTATAATATACTTTCTCGTCTCAACAACCCTGTTACGAATATTGACCAAACCACACACACTAGAAATTGAAGAGGCAACAACGTTTCAGTCCATCCTGGACCGTTATCAAGTCGACTGTGATGAGACGAGGGAGGAAAGGGCAAAATATATCCCGTTACAAATATTTTTGTTTGTATGTAAGCATTTCTTGTATTCATAAAGAAAAATACTGTAATTATGTATATTTTTGCCCTGGTTGATACCTGGTTGATGGGGTTCAGGGAGTTCTTCTACTGCCCAAGCCCGGCCCGAGGCCAGGCTTGACTTGTGAGTTTGGTCCACCAGGCTGTTGCTTGGAGCGACCCGCAGGCCCACATATACCTGGTTGATGGGGTTCTGGGAGTTCTTCTACTCCCCAAGCCCAGCCCGAGGCCAGGCTTGACTTGTGACAGTCTGGTCCACCAGGCTGTTGCTTGGAGCGGCCCACAGGCCCACATATACCTTCTTGATGGGGTTCTGGGAGTTCTTCTACTCCCCAAGCCCGGCCCCAGGCCAGGCTTGACTTGTGACAGTCTGGTCCACCAGGCTGTTGCTTGGAGCGGCCCGCAGGCCTGCATACCCACCACAGCTCAGTTGGTCCGGCACTCCTATCTGCCCTTGCTATGAGGTAGCCAAAAATCCTTAGCCACAAGGTTAGAGTTAAATATTATACCTTAAAGCAGCATTTTCATTCAAAAACACTTAAAATTTCTAAGAGAATTTGGGGACTTACCATTTATAATAGAATTTGGAGCAATAGTGTCAACAATAAGCATGTGAGCACGATTGTATTCACCAGCCTTCAACAGGTACCATGCTTCCTCATCAACCCTACAGAAAAAGAGCTTGCTTAAATAAACATCAGTTTTGTACACAAAATCAAATACTACACTACAAGTATTAATGAATATTTCAACAAGAAGTAACATTTTCCCTGTGAAGACATGCAGTATATACAGGCGATAAGTCACAATGACGTGGCTAAAGTATGTTGACCAGATCACACACTAGAAGGTGAAGGAACGACGATGTTTTGGTCCCTCCTGGACCATACTCAAGTCGATTGTGACAATCGAGAATGGTCCAGGACGAACCAAAACGTCGTCGTCCCTTCACGTTCTAGTGTGGTCTGGTCAACATGCAGTATATATATATATCTTAATTTAACCTTTAAACAGCTCAGTTAACTGCAAGTCTTACACTGTCATACACATAACCAAAATCCTGAACACACACAATACTAATCCAGCAGACCAGGTTCAACAGGAGCCACAGGGCTTACATATGGAATGTATATATATGGAACACGCACACATTCAATTTACCTACCATCCTTTGGCCACAAGAGGGACGTTGCGGCCACACTTAGTTATCATCGGGGTCGTCACAACATGTAATACCCCCTTCTCCTTTCCCTTCCCACAAATGTGATTGCAAATATTCTCTCTTCACAAGCCTAAAGAACACATCAAATGCCACACCAAGACACCAGTATTGCATACTACTGATCCCAAGAATTTTGCTTTAAGCTTAAAATATTTACTCTAATGCATTATATTGCTCCTTAAGACAGATATTCTGCCAGTATGATGGCATACTAGCAGAAAAATCTATGACACGTAAGTTTGATATAATTAGAGTGCCTTAAGGACATTAAAGCCACAGCACTGTCAAATACCATTTGTGAGGGAAGCTGCCCGACAGCACGAGGCTACAGCAGAAGTTTCCCATGAGGGTCTATAACCACACTCACCTTTTTACGATTTCAAGTTGTCTGTCCTTTCCCCCCCCCCTCTACCCTCTCTTTTGTACAGCACAGTGCTTTCTCGTCCCTCCGAGGATGCTGGTTATTAACCACGTCATCTCCCCTTACAGCATCCTTGTTTTCAAGTCCCACCTACGTGTTGGACCTCTTCAAATGTGGAGTACTTCAACCCTTCTCCACATTTCATTCCCTAACTGCACTTCACCCACTCCCCAACTCCACATTTCATTCCCTAACTGTTAAGATTTATAGGGTTAAACCAAAATATTAGTAAATACTTACATATTTAAAGAGCGAGCCTTAGTCGCTTTCGCTTGGTGTATCCACTTCTTGGGAATGCTGAGTTTTGAGATTACAAAGTCCTCCTGCATAGCATACTTTGGGTTGCTCTCGTTCTCTTCACCGACGGCAACATGACGCTGCAGAAGCTCTCGCACTTCTTTCCTGCGTCTGTGAATCACAACTTTGAAGACTGTAACCTCACATTAGTTGACTATAACGACTACTATCCACAAATATGTCATGGAACTTCATACACCTCCGAAAGAACTCCAAAAAGAATTCATTCATTTATTCCAAGAAATATCATCATGGTTTATCGTCTCCTTAAATATTCTCTACGTATATAAGAATAACGGATGAACCCGCGTGCAGAAAGGAACAATTTATCCTTTCACTATCTACGTAGCTCCTAATGCATAACTGAATCCGACGTTTTTTGCAATTATTCTTGCAAATATAATTCATTATACCATGGATGACTTTAATAGCATCACTAACCTTTCTTCCTCATTAATATTAAGAAGGACAAAAATGGCCCAGTGCCACTGCCCCGCTGACTCCATGAGAGCTGCCATACTCAGGTGAAGGCTGGCACTTAGTTGTCGCGAGAGGTGCTGGTAATTGAGACTCTCCAAGATGCGCCACAGCAGCCAGCTGAAAATAAAACCACAATGCAAGATTAATACAAGTTTCTGAAGGGGAAAACGTGGCCTCCCGCCCCAGACGTGGCCTCCCTGCACTGAACTTTATTTTGAAAATATAACTAAATACCTTAATCCTTTTGGACCATGACTCATATTTGGACTTTAAGAGATTTTTCCCAACTTTAGTTCAAGTATCTTACTCCAAAATAATTAGAAATAAAGTATTTCTCGAGACGTCATTAATGGTAGTTAACGACGTCTCAAGAAATACTTGATTTTCAATTTGAACAGCTTTTTTTTTCTTTTGAGCATGTGCTCCACCCCATGAAATCAAGGAAATAATAATAATAATAATAATAATAATAATAATAATAATAATAATAATAATGGTAATAATGGGGTCATAATTAGGCTAATAATGGAGAACTTTAATGGGGAATTAAAACATTTGCCAAAGAACTGATTGTATACATAAATAATAACTTGATTGCATTAAGATGTCGTCAACTGCTAAAGATTGCAATGGTGTAAATAATATAAGAGGATAGGATCAAGACAGAGGAAGAAAAACAAAGGCTGATAAAGAGAAGGAAAATTTAATAATGGGACAACCTAATACAGTATACAAGTTGGGGAAACACGACAGTCCATGAAGGATCAAAACAAGGTGTCAAGCAAACACCTGTAAAAACAGTAAAGGGGTTTTTCCTGTTTATCTCTTCACGTTACTGCACTTCACTCACTCGTTTCACTCCCTAAATTTGACCTGCCCTTGGTTATGGTCTAGTACACCGGTTATCTTGAGAGTCTTGAGGTTATCTTGATATGATTTTGGGGCTTTAGTGTCCCCGCATATGAAGCAGCCCGTGACAGCTGACTAACACCCAGGCACCTATTTTACTGCTAGGTAACAGGGGCATAGGGTGATAGAAACTCTGCCCACTGTTTCTCGCCAGCGCCCGGGATTGAACCCGGGACCGCAGAATCACAAATCCAGCATGCTGTCCGCTAGGCCGACCGGCTCCAGGTTCGTTGGGGAACCTTTCGTCATACCAAGACCGTATTTTACTTAGCGGAGATTTCACAAGGCTGCACGTTGCGTTGTGTACTGTATACATTCAACGATGTAGTAACAACCTTACAGATGAAGTTTCGTTAATTTAAATTGCATTCAGATGCCGCACCGAGTACCATAAAAGGCCACAAGTGGCCTAAAGGCTGCAGGTATCCCCGTCCCTGCTCTAGTAATTCTCAAGACAACCTTTAACCCTTTATCTTACTATATGAGAGAAAAATATCTAGTCCTCTAAAGTGATTGGTAAATAAACATGTAAAACACTCTAGCAAATGCTTCATGTGCTGCAGGCTTCAGATGCTGTCATTATCTTTTGTACTTGAAACTGTGGTAGCTATACACTCTTAAATGAATTCCCAACCCACACATATGATAAGGATGAGTGACAACATTTGGGTCTGTCCTGGACTTTTAGCAACATGTGTCAAGGACTTTGTTGACCAGACCACACACTAGAAGGTGAAGGGACGACGACGTTTCGGTCCGTCCTGGACCATTCTCAAGTCGATTGAGAATAGTCCAGGACGGATAGAAACGTCGTCGTCCCTTCACCTTCTAGTGTGTGGTCTGGTCAATATACTTTAGCCACATTATTGTGACTCATCACCTGCGTCAAGGACTTACTTCCCTCACACGATTCGATGAGGGTTCAGAATTGGCCGAAATGTTGTCCCTTTCCTTTTCATATGTGGGTTAGGAATTAATTCTCAGCCACGTTATTACGACATCTTACACATTCTTAAATGCTTTGACCCACACATGCGCTTGCGTAACTTTGAATAAGAACACAGGGATACCTTACATAGAACACATAAATCAAAGGCTGTATTTCTAAAGCAATAAACCCAAATGTGTTCCGACCTGACAGTAACATCCAGTGGGTCTGGCGTGATGGTGGCAGGATTAAGTAGTGCTTCCAGCTGGTGCATGGGATCGGTATACAACTTCAGCAAGTGGTAGCAGATATCATAGCTAGCTGAAAAGTAAATCATCATTAATAAAGTACAGGAATTCAATAAAATATATGAGAGAGAGAGCAATAAATAAAGTAACGCTTCATGCGCGTAACACACATTGAGTATTATTTTCATTTCCACTTATACTTCTGATCTTACTCTCCATACACAATACAATACTGTGTATCATTCTCATTTCCTCTAGGCTTTGTCTCGTGCCTTGCTTGTCAGGCATCTTATCCTCGAACAATTTCAATCATCTTCTATTCACATTCAACAATGCCATACAAAGCAGCCATTGTTTTCTGGAGCTGCTTTTGTATTTCTTGGGAGGAATTTAAACAAGATGGATTGGGATTAATTAATATATCCACCTATCAAATTCCAGGAATACGTGGCTCCTAGCATCCTAAGTGGGAGAAGATGGCGTCATTAATTGGGAAAAGGATGTAATATGTCTTTACTGGTTAGTATAACTTACATCTGGAGAGATGGACAAACTAGTGTAAGGATGAATGGATTTCAGTACAGATAGATGAATGAATGATGCGGCGATAGATGAAGGTCAGGTTACAATAGACAGATGATGACAGGAAAAACAAAACTTATTGCCCCAAAACAATTAATTTGATGTAAGACACTAATACTGTGTACTCTAAACTGCATTCTCAAGTTCCAAACTTACCTTTCATGCCATTAGGTAAGGCTTGGTATGCTAGATATGGAGGTAGAGGAGCTTCACAGTAACTAGGTGCATCTCCTCTTAGTCCTGCTGCTTGCTCATACTCTTGAAGAGCTTCCATTATGGTCGAAGTTGCCGGACAAACATACCTATTGTGAGAAAATATTGAAGCCATACATTAGCATCAAACTCACATCCTGAACACCCGAAGTACACGCACTACCAATTATAATGCATTTTATGTATATTACAACTACCACATATACGCCAACAGATTTGACCAGACCACACACTAGAAGGTGAAGGGACGACGACGTTTCGGTCCGTCCTGGACCATTCTCAAGTCGATTGTGAGAAAATATTAAATCGACAATATTCAATCAACTTGAGTCGATTGAATATTGTCGAGTATTGACAATATTCAGTTGTCAATATTGTCGATTGAATATCGTCGACCGAAGTCGACGACTTCAGTCCGTCCAGGATGGACGTTGTCGTCCCTTCACCTTCTAGTGTGGTCTGGTCAAACTACTTCAGCCACGTTATTGTGACTCATGGCTTGCACACCAACAGATGCTTATACAGTATACTAACCACAAATGAAGGGCAAATGCTCTTCTCCAGTCAAGTCCATGGCAAGTGTTAACTGTGGTGTGAGAGGCTTGGTGAGTGGGGGCTGCAGCTAGCAGCGAGTACAGTGCCAGCCGAGATGGGGCCATCAAGGCATCAGTTCCACCCTCGGCCCAGTTTGCTAGCTGTTGTGCTAGAATCTGTCGTGGAGCATCCTGGCCAAGGCAAGCCTGGGCCAACAGCAAAGCCAGGTGGTGATCACCTAAAGCGAATCAGTAAAGCTATGAACTGCACAAAATTTAATTTTAATTCAACTAAAGAATTTCCAAATTCTCACAATAGCTTCAAAAGTTATAAAATACAGTGGTCTACATTCCCAACTCTCAATTGAGGATACCAAGTTTAATCCTTGGGGCAAGACAGAAATGATTGGGCTTGTTTCCCTTCACCTCATGCCTTTGTTTATTCAACGGCGAATAGGTACCACAGGAGTTAGGCAACTATTCTGGATTGCAGGCTGGAGGTGGTCAGTAACTGACCTATTAGAGCTTCTATAAAGTACTTGTCCCTGGCAACAGGACTTGAATTAAATGAAGAATTAACTATGTGCCAACACTATCACGCACCACTGTGATGCGTGAGAGTATTGACACATCCCACGCATCGTAGTGGTCAGGGGACTGGAATCAGGACTCATTTCCTCGAAAGTGATTCCTATTATATGTCAAAATAGCTTCAGGCAGAAATACAGAGTACATCTAGGTTTAACGATGAAGGAAATAGTTGAACGATATGGAGTTGAAGAAGGCTTTATTTTGAGGAAAAATCAAGGCATCGCGGCATTAACTGTAAAATGAAAACATGCTGGATACAGGAGCACATCTATTACTGTGCTTTCCCCCCATGCTGGTGGCCATGACATAGATACATGCAGGCATGAATCCCAGTTGGAAATATATAGGAATCGATTGAATTAATTAGGAGTAAAGTATAAGTGAAAATTTGTAATAAAAGTAAACAGTATACCAGGAATTGATTTCTAGAACCAATAGTAATCAAATATTTTCTACATCTTGCTAACAGTATGATCACCATAATCTGCCTGAAAATTAGACACCCAAACCACACATTTAAAACTAAAGGCAATAACGACATTTCCGGCTTATTGCGAACCATTATCAAGTCGAGTAAAGAAAGACTGGTATCGACTTTCTCTACCACTCTTTCTTTACAAAATTTGATAATGGTCCAGGTAGGATCAAAATGTCATCACTTTCCATATTTTCTGATGCGTGGTTTGAGTGTTCTACTACAGCCTTCTCCTCCAGTGAGACCTCTTTACTCTTCAACAATTGCCAATGCTGAACTTGCTTAGCTAAATGAATTGTGGGGTTCAGTCCCTGAGCCCATTATGTGCCTCTGTAACCCTTTCCACTACCACCCACAAGACGGGTATGGGGTGCATAATAAATGAACTAAACTAAAACTGATAACCCAACCTGTCCTCTTGAATGATACATTGCATTTTGATGTATAAATTCCCCAAAGCCCAAAATATATTGTACTAAAAATCTTAACGGCTCACAAAATTGATGGCCTGCCACATTTTCTATTTGAGGGTTAGGTTAGGTTCTGGCAATTTAGTACATCATTTTTACAAAGTTTTGGCAAATTTATGGCTGCATAACCAAGATGTCTCCTTACTTGTGAAAAGGAGGAAATGTATATGTTTATCTCTCAGAATGTTCGATAATACGTTTATTGTTTGTGATGTGTGTGTATGTATGTATTAACACGATGTACTGAACGGGGTGAGAATAGCTTGAGCTACCTCATCCCTTTGTGTGTATTTTACCTCAATAAACTTATTTCAATTTCAAGACGTCTCCTTCATTCAACATACCGTATATAATATCGTCAGTCACGTTATCGTGGCTCATCGTCTCAATTATCCCTTTTACCATTTTTTGTGAAAGATGAACAGACTTCTACAACCTCACCTTCATCCTGTGCCAAGACACAAGCCTCGGAGATTTGTCGTGCAGTCAAATGAGCAAACACAGCATCAAGGTAGCCTTCTTCACTGTTGTCTTTGTTTAAGGCAATGGCCACTTCCTCCTGGACAGTTGCATGACTCACTGCTTCTAACCACTGGCTTACGGCTTCTACTCGTGCTCGAGACACACTGTAATCGCTCTCGCCATCTGTGGACGAAAAACAATGTGAACAATACAAAATCGGTAAAATTTCCTTCAAGATATATACATTTTCCTTCCATTTTTCTTGAGAATAATTTAAACCAAAAAAATCTACACTGTTTGCCAATTTGTTTAGCACTTATCTTGAGATGATTTCGGGGCTTTAGTGTCCCCGCGGCCCGGTCTTCGACCAGGCTTCCCCCCCCCCCCAGGAAGCAGCCCGTGACAGCTGACTAACACCCAGGTACCTATTTTACTGCTAGGTAACAGTGGTATAGGGTGAAAGAAACTCTGCCCATTGTTTCTCGCTGGTGCCCGGGATCAAACTCGGGACCACAGGATCACAAGTCTAGCATGCTGTCCGCTCGGCCGATCGGCTCCCTTATCAGTACCTTTTTGCAGATTCAGGGTAAATAATACGACGCTTAAGGGATTGTACACGAAGCAAACCACAAATTTGTGTACGACTTTCGAACCAAGATTTAAGACCGAGTTTGAGCCCAACACAAACAAGATGGCATCAGGTCTCGACAAAGAGCTTTGACCATTTTCCTATACAATAAATTATAGCTAAATATTTTGTCAAACAATACTGATACACAGCATTTAGATTTTTAAGTTTTTAAATTATACAATGGCTTGGAATGAATCATCAAAAATCAGATCATGCATCATTTGCAGTTTTCTAAAATATGCCTAAAGAAATTAACCCATAAGACCCAACCATACAACCGAATCTCATCCCCACACAGGAGATCTAAACACCCTGCTAGAGAAACACCCACACCAATCAAGACCCAACCGCACCACAGTAGATCCAAACACATCAAGGACCAAACCCCCAAGGACCTGGCCCCAAAGACCTGACCCCCAAGGACCTGGCCCCAAAGACCTGGCCCCAAAGACTTGACCCCAAGGACCTGACCAAAGACCTGAAAACAGAAGGTAGAATCCCCTAAAACAAAATAGAAGTTTATTTATTAATTTACCTTTCTACGGGTAAACTTTTGTCAAACTTGGCTATGGTACCCAACGCTGTACATAACACTAGACAAAGCAGCCGTGAACGGTTAACATCTTAGGATAACACAGGCAAATTATCCAACAATACAGTTACCTTATCCTGTGTTATCTTGCCCTGATTCTAAGGATCAATGTCCTCAGCGGCTCAGGCAGTACTTCAGTGTTCATATTTTGACACTGGTGACACAACTTTTACATACTTCACTAAAATATAATATCATTTAAGCAAACGAGAGCAAGAATATTCTGAGTTTTTCCACCTAGTACAATCGTTGATAGAGAAGTAAAACATGTGTTGCATAGTATTCTAAAGTACGATTTATATACCTACCCAACGAATCTTGCATCGACTCACCCGACTCGGGAGAGTAGAAGTCCAATCTCCCCCAGAGTGCCACACACAGATTAAATATATTGGAGATAGTGGGGTCTTCGTGGCCAAACGATGCAGCAGTCTCTGCCAGCTGATGCAGCAAGTCTATATCCTTCGCTGGCCGGAAAAAGGGGCACTTTGGGTCTTTGGATTCGCTCATCTCGTCAATGTCCAAAATACTTCGTTCCAATACGCATTCTAAACTGGCCTCAGTTAAGTGCTGGAGGGAATAATGAATTCAGGTTTTATTATATAATTTTTAATTCTATAGCTCATATAACTGTGAAATATGAATTAAAAAAAATCCAAATTTTGCTCAAAAGAAAATTAACAACCACATAATTACACACATTTATTAGCTAAAACTTTAGTAACTTGAAGAGTATTACACTGCAAATAATTTTTAGACAATATTCTGTGGCACAAAGATGTCATATACCAAAAAGTTGCTAAACAAAATTGTTGTGGTTTTGCCTCTCGAGGATATTCCTCCCTGGTTTTATTAGTTTTCGTCCTGCTTATTCCTTCCCATAATGTCCGGATAAGTGAGCATAGTTGGTACATTATTAAGTCCTACATAGCACAGCTATGTCAGGACTTATTAGGGTCAAAGATAGGCTGAAAGATCGGCACGATCCTTTCGTTTAATTTGTGGGTTGGGTTATCTGATCAAGGTATTTGGGTGGTGTGAATGAAAATTCAATCATCTTGCATATGGATGAACTAACATTTGTTTTTGGCATTAAGTCATGCTTAAATGCAGTCAGGGAGTGAGGGATGCAACAGCAGAAAAATATATACACACCAATGAAATTCCTTATTGCTCACACTCATTACTAACCCAACCCTAACCACTTGAATTGGATAGCAGACCGACGATCTCGTGTCTTGCAGGTTAGCGTTCAATCCCACACCGTCCAAGTGGTCGGTTAACATTCCTGCCCCGCCATCCTATCCCAAATCCTTATCGTCACCCGTTCCAAGTGCAATATACAGAACTCTACAGTTCCCACCACTAGCCCCTCTACTACACTTTACTTTGCTCCTTATCTCTCGTGCCTATTTATTGCCTGTCTCTACTTCCCCATCACAATCGACTTGAGAATGGTCCAGGACGGACTGAAACGTCATCGTCCCTTCACATTCTAGTGTGTGGTTTGGTCAACATACTTTAGCCACGTTATTGAGACTCATCCCCTGCACCTGAATATACAGAAGTCGTAATGGTTTAACGCTTCCTCCTGATAATGACCTCACCCCAGTACTAAAGCCAGACTTACATGTTTGGTGTGTGAGTGGGGTTGGACCGTGTGCAATTTTTCTACCATCAAGTTGTATCTGCAAACACAAAATTGCATATTTAATGCCACGTGGTTTACTAAAACGATTTACTTATACTATAATGTTAATTCACTAATTATTGTTATGAATCTTTACCTAGCAAAACAATGTCAACAAACTGGATAAGTTTAGATTAAAAAAAAAAAAAGTGCGCGCACCTCTGGTGAAATTGTAGGGACCCATAGCATCAAATTTGCTATGGGTCACACACACACACACATATATACATACATACAAACATACATACACATACATACATACACACACACACATTGTCTATATAAAATGTGTACTCAACTAGTTGTGCTTGTGTGGGTTGAGCTTTGACCCTATATATACATACATGTATGTATATATGTATGGCGTACCTAATAGCCAGAGCCGCACTACTTTGCCTAGTATGCAAGGCTTGATGCTTAACAAGCAGTTTGATTTTTCTTATTTTTAAATATTTCTTTCCAAATTGTTTTATTCAAATTCATATTATTAGATTATATTAAGAACATTAATTTCTGGCTTGATTAGGATAGGTTTGATCACATTTAATATTAGTTTTAACTCAAATTAAATAAAAACTGTATTCAAATCATACATAATGTAATGGAAAGCTTCATCATTCTATAAGAAAAAATTGTGAAAATATAGTATTTCAAGAAAATACAGCTTGTTATGCAACTTGGCCTATTAGATACAAAATATATATATATATATATGCATTTGGTTGGATATATAAATAGGAGCTACTTTGCTAAGGCCAATAGATCCTCTGCAGTTCCCTTTATGTTCATGTTCTTATTATAGAAAACGGTTTCTTCAAAATCAAAGTGAAAAATACTAAGTTACATTTACCTGGGAGAATCTGCACTCGGAGCCGTTTTGGGATGGGAAGCCAGAGAGCCAAGGAAGAGGAAGGAAGCAGGTGAAGGATGTGTTACAGCCGCTTCCATCGCAGTCACGTCATCACTGCACTCCTCCATGGTGGTTGAAGCGAGCGGTGTGCCTGCGTGCACCAAATTCCAGCACGGACCCCACCCCACCCTGAAGGAGCGTCCCATGAAAGCCCCCATATCTGACAAACAATGATCCAGTCCATACATGAGGGAAGAGGCAAAGGGAACGATGGTCGTCTGATGCTGGGGAGGAACATGGCCCACCTCTGTACCAACGTCACAACCGCTTGGCAGCATTTCATACTCGCAACGGGAATCCCGAAAAGGAGGTGCAGGGCAGGATTCTGTCTGTACATCTGAATAAATAAAAATGGCATTTTTTTTTGCGTTGATACACAACATATGTAATTTATGTTATTAAAAAAAAGAGCAGAATAAACAAGGTAATATATATACAGTACTGTAACCATACAGTTAATTCAATTACACCATAGGAATGTTAAAGTATGGAATTGCCTTCAAATTTACAGCCACTAAACACTTCATGGCCAGTCTGTCTGTAATGCTCACCATTCAAAATTTAAATTTTATATAGATTTTTAATGCAATTTAGAGAAATCTACCATTTGAATACATATCTGAATCTCCACAAAATTACCAAAAAGGCAGATTTTTTATAAACAATGATGACAAACACAAGAAACTCACTGGCTTTTGGTGGAGAAGCCATGGCAAGTGGCTGAAGGTGGAGAACAACCCGCGCCTTGGGTTCACTAGGCACGGGGCTCATTGTTGCTCCCCGACTCTGGTTTAAAGACGAATCTGTTGCCAACATCAGTTTCTTGCTCGACACTACAAAATCAGGAAATAAATTGTTAACGGGAAATCTTAATGCGAGAGAGATGCAAGAATTCCAGTTAGAATAATGTAAGCTACCGTAGCTCTGAAAAATATTAACAGTAGTGTTATTTTCAACAAATGTTACTGAACATATTTCAAAGTGACGTCCACACGTGAGGTGGATTGCGGAAGTGAACTTCTACACACATTTACCATTACAGTATCTCAATATGTGTATGCAACTACAGCACTATATTCTCAACACAGCATATGAAAGGTAAATCTCATGTAATGTACTGCAATACAAAAATAAATGTACATATATAAACCCATAATAAGAGGAAGGGAGTACCACCTCTGGCTGGAAGAAGGGGGACCCATAGCCTCGGAGGAAACCACGCATAACGCATTGGAGGGAATGTTTAGATCCCCTCCAATACAGTTTCTGTGTGCTTTTCTCCTACCACCCCTTCCTGTTTTTTTGTGCTTTATTATGTATTTGATGGTTGCAAGATATACATGGGTTGATACAAAAATAATACAAGAAGTGCTTAAAGGTTATGGAACTCTTGAAAAACACGACAATGGGAAACATTGATGAATGTCACAGACGGGTTCAATCATTGTTGCAAGTCAAACACTTCTTCGAATTCCTCTGAAGTTGGACTAATGTCCAAGATGCAACAGGCATTTCCCCTCTGAATCGCAACACTGAGGCTCTGGAACAAGAAACTTTTTGCTCTCTGAACCCATAATAGTATATATTGTCCTGGGTGTGAGTGTGCACTTAACTAGTTGTGTCTACATGGAGGAAGATCCAGCTCTTAAGCCCCACCTCATAGCTAAACAAGTACAGTAATGTGCATATATACTACTCCTAACTTTTCGAGTTCTGCCATACTTGCTCTTCAAACTGTGAATGGTGGTTGCTGCTACCACCTTTGCATTTAGGTTCATTTCACTTGTTTACCACTCTCATTGCATACACATATTCACTTAAATTTACAATACAATACAATACAATTTTACAATACAATTTTATTTAGGTAAGGTACATACATACAAAAATTTTTTACAAGGATTGGTTGACTTATAGGTAGAGCTAGTACATACAATGCCTAAAGCCACTATTACGCAAAGCGTTTCGGGCATCATTTCTTTGGTAAATCCATGTTTACAACTTCCAAATACCTACTTGTTATTGTCTATCACCTAGGAAAAAACTAATAATTAATCCATTTTATTTTACTCCCTTCTGAATATTGTGCACATTGTGATATTACTTCCTGTCCTTTCTAATTTTTTTTCTAGTTCCCTTAGCCTATCATGTTATATTTATCTTATCTCTGCTATCTGTCTTCTTGTATTTAATCACACGAAGATTAAATACAGGTTACAATACGCAATAACCACAACTTGCCTCTGGGCCCCTGTGGTGTAGGTGTGGATTCTCTGGTCGTTTGGAGAGGTTCGTCATCATCATCGGCACCAAACATCTGCGACTTAGCCAGCTGAACGGTCCTAGGCACTACTCTAGACAGCACGGTCAGTCGCTCCGAACTTGGAGACATAATACTCAAAGACGCGCTCTCCTCTGTGAAAAAACATTTCAAATAAATACAAACATACACATATCTGATATACTGAAAGGCAGGAACAAATTTATTGTGAACATGACAAAATCACACAGGATAACAACAAAGAAATGCGCAACATACCAGGTTCCTTTGCAATAGATGAGTCCATAACTTCATCATCTGGAACTTGAACATCTTGATGAGGGCTGTCAAGATACCTTGGCTGAGATGCCTAGAAGGAAGATTTATATTAAAATGTGAGAATAGTTGCAAATGTCCTGCATTACCAGAAGTTATGGCGACGGATCGAGACAACAGGCCGAGAGCAGTATTCCCAATTCTAGCTAGTTACTTGATCATTTTATCTCTGTCAGCTTTTTGTATATAATACAACAAGTTCACAAATGTTCAGACTAATACGATTTATAATTTATAATCGTGCTAACTATGCAATAGTAATTCAAGGCCCTAACTTCTGGCCCCATAAAGACCTACTTGAAACATTTTCTCTGCATCCTGCCCTGTGAATGGGCAACACGTCTTTTTTGGGGAGACAGTAAAAACAAACTACAGTGGGCTGTGTGAGTAATATGTATGACAGACATACTGTTGTCATACAGACAAGCAGCCCACTGTAGTATGTATGACAACAGTGGGCTGCCTGTATGACTCTCAAAACTAGTCAGAGTTAATCTTTCGTATTAAGAGGGGATAACAAATGAGAGTTTATGCACTACAAAAATATCAGTGTCTAGAAAGTAAAGATGCAAGGCCCTGATCATGGGCACATCAGAACAATAACATACAAATAATGGCTCAAAAATATGTAGCCTCTGAAGCTGACTAATTACCAACCCCCAATCACTAAAGCAATTGAGCAGACTAGAGTTGAGAATTTTCCACATTAACAAGAACCAAAAAATCTAATCCAAAAAATCTGAACTTGCATAGCAGATAAGTAGTGTGATTGATAGCCCAACTAAGCAGTTGTCAAGGTTATCTTGAGGTTATCTTGAGATGATTTCGGGGCTTTAGTGTCCCCGCGGCCCGGTCCTCGACCAGGCCTCCACCCCCAGGAAGCAGCCCGTGACAGCTGACTAACACCCAGGTACCTATTTTACTGCTATGTAACAGGGGCATAGGGTGAAAAAAACTCTGCCCATTGTTTCTCGCCGGCGCCCAGGATCGAACCCGGAACCACAGGATCACAAGTCCAGCGTGCTGTCCGCTCGGCTGACCGGCTCCAGTAGGTAGCTATCACTGATCCCATGAAGCTGAAGCTCACAAGGCAACCTGCCCTCTTATAGAAAGGGTCACATTTTGACGTATACTCTACCCAAGGCCGCTACTAGAAAATTGTAGCGGCTCACGAAATTGACATACTATTCCATTTTTTGTTTTAGGTCCTCTAGTAGGTTAGGATAGGGCACTTTACTACGACAGTTTCTCGACGTTGGGGAACCTTAGGATGCCATTTAAGAACCACTGGTGACGAGTCTGGGGCTCATGGTTCAGCCCAAAGGGCAAATCGTGAAAGGGGTAAGCAAAAGTGCCTCCACTCAAAACCCCAACCAATTCCTGAGCTTGTGAAATATTACCTCGTAATATTATTAATTCTCAACTTTTGTACCAAAGAGTGACTCATCAGAGATTACAATGAACCTAGACATATATATAAATTCAGTCAGCAACAAAGACATTTAGAAACTGTTAGATAATTAATTAAGTCGGCATCGAGTGAACAAAATTTAATATGTAGAAGAAATGAGATTATTAGTAACATTATCCAATCTAAAAGTTTTGTTTTTTGAATGTTTTTATTAACATGTACACTGTACCTATATGCTTATTTAATTTCAGTGCATCAAAAAATAATTATTGCCATTGCTGAACAAATCCACAAGGGCCGTGACGAGGATTCGAACCTGCGTCCGGGAGCATCCCAGACACTGCCTTAATCGACTGAGCGACAAATCCCCCCTTGTGGATTTGTTCATTTGATGCATCACGTTAATGTGATCTCTGTGTGTAATAGTGTATTGCCATTGCTCATTCCACTTCAAAAACAAAAATAGTAACCTATGATGTGTGAAAGAAGCAAAATGAGCAACAACTCACCTGCTTGGAAGCTAAGCTTGGCATGGTCATCTGGCTAAGTCCGAACTGCGGGGGTGACGTAAGAGACGTCACCGGAGGAACCGAGATGTGCATGGGTAGAGCAGGAAGCTGAGTCGCAGCTCCACTCTGAGGTGGGATTGGCTGGATCTGGTTGGTCTTGGGAGGGATGGTCGCCATATCCTCCTCGTCGTTATCCTCTTGCAAGCCGTACTTCGAGAAATGCTTTACCTAAAACATTTGAGGCAGAAAAAATTACAAACTTCAAATTTGTAATCACATAAAAATAATTATTCAAATGTTTACCTGACCAAAATTAGGATCTTTTTAATTTAACTAATTTAATTTTTAATAAAAATTAGGGCATACAATTAGTCTCAAAGAGTAGTTGGCTTAATTCTCAATTCATTATTGGGGATCCCAGGATGGATTCCCGGGTAGGATAGAAATGGTTAGGAATGTTTCGTTTCATCATATGCCCCTGTTCACCAAACAGTAAATAAGTAACCCAGAAGTTAGTCAACTCGGCTAGCAAACGCTAGAACTGAACACAAATTTTCTAACGACTGTACAAAACTAAGCTTTCCGTTATTGGCCACATTCAAATGGTCAACTTGGGCACACATTCAAATGGTCAACTTGGGCTCACATTCAAATGGTCAACTTGGGCTCACATTCAAATGGTCAACTTGGGCTCACATTCAAATGGGCCAACTTGGGCACACATTCAAATGGTCAACTTGGGCTCACATTCAAATGGTCAACTTGGGCTCACATTCAAATGGTCAACTTGGGCTCACATTCAAATGGTCAACTTGGGCTCACATTCAAATGGTCAACTTGGGCTCACATTCAAATGGTCAACTTGGGCACACATTCAAATGGTCAACTTGGGCTCACATTCAAATGGTCAACTTGGGCACACATTCAAATGGTCAACTTGGGCACACATTCAAATGGCCAACTTGGGCACACATTCAAATGGCCAACTTGGGCACACATTCAAATGGTCAACTTGGGCTCACATTCAAATGGCCAACTTAGGCTCACATTCAAATGCAAGAATTTCACATTTTTCATTACCTATTGAATTATTGATCAATTTTAATTACCTATAACAAATTCCAACTAATTCTGTGCTCCAAAAGAGCAGAGTCTAAGACTTACACAAAGTTTTGCCACTGTCATCACTACTCTTTAATTAAGTAAACCTAAATTAACATAAGGCAACCCATCGTATCCCATCCACATTAAGAGAGAAAATGTGTTTTATGTATTGTATGCACAAGGTGCAAGACCTCGCTATAACGTCATCATTTTATCCCGACTCGGGTTTTAAACTCGCCGAGTTACAAATTTAATTTAGATCACCACCCTAAATTATGGTAAGCATTTGATTCTGTGAGAGGGGTTCAGCGTCATCTTTACTTTAATTTAACTTGACCAAAGAGCCAAAGCTCAACCCCCGCAAGCACAATTAGGTGAGTACTTGGGGATGCAGCCTGTGTATACTATTAGTTCCACGCTTCTACTGACCTTACTCAAGCTCCAGCAGCAATCACATCTAACGTCTCAAGACAAATAACTCCATGCACCTGAATGAATGCACTGACAACACTTAGTAGTTATCCAGTCCACTTTGCCGCATCCAACAGCCTGGTTGACCAGTCCAGCAACAGAGGCCTGGTTGATGACCGGCCTGCAGTGATGCTAAACCTCAAAATCATCTCAAGGTAACTTAAGGTAGTATGTATCCTACTCAATGATCCAGATGATATTCAGTTTCATTATTTAAATAATAACTCCATTTAAACCCTACTTGTTCCAATTAAATGATTTAACCAGCCAAGAAAATGCTCACATTTTCTTTATCATTTCTATTGTGGTATTTAAACCAAAACTGAATTTATGATGCTATCTTGAGATGATTTCGGGGCTTAGCATCCCCATGGCCCGGTCCTTCGACCAGGCCTCCTTTTTATTACACATCCCCAGGAAGCAGCCCATAGCAGCTGTCTAACTCCCAGGTACCATTTACTGCTAGGTGAACAAGGGCATCAGGGTGAAACTCTGCCCATTTGTTTCCGCCTCCGCCGGGAATCTAACCCAGAACCTTAGGACTACGAACATGGACATGTATACGAGTGGAATTGGGTGGTTATAAATAGGAGCTGCCTCGTATGGGCCAATAGGCCTTCTGCGGTTGCCTTTGTTCTTATGAACCCTGAGTGCTGTCCACTCAGCCATCAGACCATGTCGCCAGAAATGAGTTTATTAACTATTATATGTCTATTATATATCATTCTGACCTTCTTTATCTTCAGCTACTCATCTCTGCCCAAGTTGCTTACTACAATACACCCTGGACTAACATACAAACTATATTGAATAGCACAGAGAATACTTTGCAATAAGGTAGCTTAAATAAAACACATGTCCCACTCGTAAGAAATGAAAGCACTTGTACTAACACTTCGGTCCATTCTGAACCTTTATCAACTAGCAAGACTTAAAAATAATCAAAAATTCTTCATTCTCAAGAATCAAGTCTTAATAAAGGTCCTTGATAAAAGAACTTTATCAAGTAGTAAGACTTCATAAGAATCCTGAATGGACCAAAACATGTCACTTTTAATTTAATTTTTGTGTGAAGGGAGGTTATCTTGAGATGATTTCGGGGCTTTTTTTTTTTTAGTGTCCCCGCAGCCTGATCCTCGACCAGGCCTCCACCCCCAGGAAGCAGCCCGTGACAGCTGACTAACACCCAGGTACCTATTTTACTGCTAGGTAACAGGGGCATAGGGTGAAAGAAACTCTGCCCATTGTTTCTCGCCGGCGCCTGGGATCGAACCCAGGACCACAGGATCACAAGTCCAGCGTGCTGTCCGCTTGGCCGACCGGCTACCAACCGGGGGGGTTGGGTTACTTTATATATACTGTATATAATAATGCACATGTATTTCAGGCTGCAAATAAATTACACAAAAGCATTCTTGAGCGATCCTCAGTGTCAGGATATTACAAAAAATTGTACATAAACCAATCTTTATTCAATCAAAACCCTACAGTGATACTTCTAAACTATTATACAAATTCTGAGCAATAAATGCTGCTAGTTCTCTTTGGTAAAGCAGAGGGCGGTGCTTATGTGTCATATGAATTAGTTAATACTATATATAACATTTTTCAAAACGTCCCTACAGTAACTTCTTAATATATAACTCGGTATTCTTAACTCATGAAGCACTAATTACCTTAACCTTGGTTCACCACTATGTGCAATTCTTAAATTATTATTGTATTTTCATTCTTATATGTAAATGAGTTACAAAAAAAGGAAAAAAATCAAATACAGTACCGTCCTCGGACATACAGAATTTCATATTACATTAATAAAAAAATCTGATATCAATATCAGTCCTGAAATTTGGAGTGTTACTGTAACCTTTAATTTTACATTTTATTTTCATGATGAAGTCAAGAAAAACACAATAAAAGTGAAAAACCAAAAAACAGAAATGGTCTCAAACTTAATATTTTTAAAACATATTCGTCAGCAAAATGGTATCTCATCCTCTAAAAATCTTCCCATTAATTTGTATGTAAAATAACAACGTTCATAACTTAATTGTTATATATAACATCCGGAGAGATATCAAATCGTAATAATTATAGGGATTTATTAAAACCGAATTCTCATAACGTTTTAGTGAAAAAGCCTTTAGAATGTCATAATTTAAGACACACGTGAACCAAAGTGTGTTACATGATATCGTCCAAGAGTTAAGAATCAAGAACATTTTTTTAGTAATGTTGATATTTTAGATTAAATATGTAAACCACATACTACATTAATATGTAAACTAGTTACAGGATATTCCCTTTATTTCCAAGGAATTTGTTTTTTGTAGGGATTAAGGGGCTGCTCCCAAGTTTTCCATCCTGATAACAGAATTAAAGGCCATATTTTGATTTATTAGTCCTACCACGGGATAAAATACATGCAGTTTCAGTATAAATGCAGACAAACCTAAGATTGCCTACAAATAGCATGTAAAAATACTTGAGCACAAAGTTAAAAGTGTAGCAGTAGCAGTTAAAAGTTACATTGTAACAGAAAAAACACTAAATGAATATCTATTACAATTAAGAAACCTACTGCAATTAAAACTATTAAAATCACCAGCAACTCCAACAACTGCAAGACATCATGCCAAATCAACGCCATTAAATAAAGCCTCATTACCTCTAAACTAGTTACATCACCACATTACCTAACTTTCCCGTTGACCTGATTGATGAAGATTAAGCCATCCAAAAGGTGGCACGGGCATGAATAGCCCGTAAATGGTGGCCCTTTTAAACCATTACCAGTATCAAGAGCTGATTCTGGAGATCTGTGGAGGTGCGACTGCACCCTGCGTGACGGGAGATGTCTCCCGTGTCCCGTTGACCTGTAGAGTGACCTCAACGAGGTCATTCCATCATTTTTCTAATCTTCATGCTTTCCTTCACTGGCCCGTGTCATTCCTATCCATCACAAGGCTCTACTTCACGACTCTCGGTTATGATATCTTTGCGTGATGTTTTTAAAATGATTTTTTAAGTACGGTATAATGAGAATTTGGGCTCTTTAACAATCTTAACGTGTTCCTTAACCTACTAGTGCTGCTTAATAGCATTGGCATGTTCTAGCACTTCAATTTCAGTGCTCCATGTCCTGCTATTCCAGTTTCACGGTGCTCCGTGTCCTGCTATTCCAGGTTTACGGTGCTCCATGTCCTGCTATTCCAGTTTTACGGTGCTCCATGTCCTGCTATTCCAGTTTTACGGTGCTCCGTGTCCTGCTATGCCAGTTTCACGGTGCTCCGTGTCCTGCTATGCCAGTTTCACGGTGCTCCGTGTCCTGCTATGCCAGTTTCACGGTGCTCCGTGTCCTGCTATGCCAGTTTCACGGTGCTCCATGTCCTGCTATTCCAGTTTTACGGTGCTCCATGTCCTGCTATTCCAGTTTCACGGTGCTCCGTGTCCTGCTATGCCAGTTTCACGGTGCTCCGTGTCCTGCTATGCCAGTTTCACGGTGCTCCATGTCCTGCTATTCCAGTTTTACGGTGCTCCATGTCCTGCTATTCCAGTTTCACGGTGCTCCATGTCCTGCTATTCCAGTTTCACGGTGCTCCATGTCCTGCTATTCCAGTTTCACGGTGCTCCATGTCCTGCTATTCCAGTTTCACGGTGCTCCATGTCCTGCTATTCCAGTTTTACGGTGCTCCATGTCCTGCTATTCCAGTTTTACGGTGCTCCATGTCCTGCTATTCCAGTTTCACGGTGCTCCATGTCCTGCTATTCCAGTTTTACGGTGCTCCATGTCCTGCTATTCCAGTTTCACGGTGCTCCATGTCCTGCTATTCCAGTTTTACGGTGCTCCTTATTTTCGCTACAGTATCATAATAATACTCGACCTACAATTCCATCTTCAAAAATCTTGTTTCGTTCCTATCCTTCAACTCTAATACTCTATACCCAACTCGATCTTTACATTTCTTCTAGTTAGTCAGCTGTCACGGGCTGCTTCCTGGGGGTGGAGGCCTGGTCGAGGACCGGGCCGCGGGGACACTAAAGCCCCGAAATCATCTCAAGATAACCTCAAGATAGACCCAAACAGTAGCTCCCATTTTCTAACAAATATTTTTTCATAATATTAGGTCCTTTTTTTACTAATTTTGTTCCGAACAATAGCTAACTTGTTTTACCAATCTATCTAAACCTCGGATTCCAAATCAGAGGACAAAAATAAACAATTAAAATTATACAGGCATATCAATTATCTCTTCTGGATCTGATGCGTTCTCCTTAGAGTAACTTGGGATCTCTCCAGTACGTACTCCTTCTCCACCTCACCATTTTCATAATGCTGGTTGTGTAACATCATCGTCCACAAAGGTGGACTTCTTCAAGAACCTATTAGATAAATTCTTGCAAGAAGTACTGGACCAACCAGGCTGTAGTGGATGTGTGGGCTTATGGGCAGCTGCAAACAACAGCTTGTTGGACCAAGTTATCACAAGTCGAGCCTGGCCTCAGGCTGGGCTCGGGGAGTAGAAGAACTCTCGAAACCCTCTAAAGGTAAGCTCCAGATAAGCTTCCACAAATCTTATTGCACAATTACGTTTGACTTCGTTATTCATGCATTACCAACATCTTCCACCCCTACTTCCACTACACAGTTTAAATTCAGTATTTTATTAAGCATAAAAGTACAGGTACAGATATTTCCAATTAGTTAAAATATCACATAATATCACAATACAGTATCTTAATTAATGAATACAGACATAGCAAACAATACATTTATGCATGTTAGCCTGATCAGCTTCCGCTATATCAGCTATATAATCAGCTATATAATGAAATGAGCCTGCATCTAAGTTAATTAAAATGAAAACACATTACTGTAGTCTCATTTAAAGCTAGATCGGCATGTATGTAAACAGATAACTATAATATCATTTATATATTTATTGGAAGGCAGCTCTTAGTTACAAGAATTATGTACATTATTATATAAGCATTCAGACATCACTTCCGCGCACACAATCACTTTAACAGGTCCATACAACACGTCTCGCTTCTTGCAGGTCGGCATTCGATCCCCGATGGTCCAGTGGTTAGGCACTATTCCTTCCCACTGTTCCATGCCACCTTGTCCTCATATCCCTGCCAAATACTAGTCATACTGGTTTTAGTACCGTCTCCTCATACTTGCCTTATATCCCACACACAAAACATCTAAGCTAGCCCACCACATTTAACTACATCCTGGACCTCAGGCTGGGCTTGGGGAGTAGAACAACTCCCGAAGTCCTCTCCAGGGACACTCCAGGTACGTAAACGTCTCCTGCACAACACTGCATAAATTATGTTCCAGTCTCCTTGTCAACTCGAGAGAAATAAGAGCGATATTAAACACACTTATTTCTGAAAGCTGTCTTTTTTTTTAAGCTAACCATCTCTCAATTCTGAAAAGTGACTTTCTTCTTTCTGAAAGTTGTCATTTTTAACAGCAATTTGAGTTACTAATACTGTCTATTCATCAGGACACTAAATTTTATCCTTTCTTGCCATCGACAACAATGCATGAAACTTCCATATAATAAAAAATAAAACAATTACGAAAAAATTAATACAACTGTACAAGGAAAAACAAGTGATGAATGTTCGTCACGGCCCTCGTGGATTTGTTCATTTGATGCATCACGTTAGTGTGATTTCTGTGTGCAAGTGATGAATGTAATAAAATGCCCAGTTCTAGATTATCCCCAGTGGCTCCCGTCAGCCACATCGGCAACATAGCCAACCTGTCCTTCTGCAAAGAACGTTTCTTTTCGCTCGTGTGTGTTACACAAGGCCAACAATTGTCGTACCAGAAAATGGAAGCAGCTCACGAAAGTGACGTATTGTCCCATTTTCTGTTTTGGGTCCTCTGGTAGGTTAGAAGACACTTTACATTAACCATTTTTTTGACGTTGGAAAGCCTTAGGAGGATGGGCTGATATAGCATCAGGCAGCCATCAAAGGGCTTCCCCAGAAAAATTTAAGTACAGTGTACAGCATATTAAAAGTCTCCACATAGGTTTATGAGAAATAAAATAAATATAACTATGTACACAGATGTACAAGAAATTTAAAAGTAGAAAAACAATCACTGCACACCATAGGTGAAGTCTGATTTGAATCAAGAACGGGGGAACTAATTAATGGTCGATTTGAGAAAGGACAACAAGATCCTTACATTTTCTTACACCTAATATATTTTGTATTGTTATATATAACAAGTCTGTCTGTATACAACCAGCACCATTATTCTCCGCCGGAATACAGAACTTCAGCATTTTATTATTTTTATTCTAGCGGCATAAAATATTCAGAAATATTAGAAGCATTTTCAGTTTTATATCACGAACATGCTTTTCCACAACTGCGATTGTGTTACACTCATTTAACGTAATAACGGCAATTATATTTAAATATGACAAATGCCTTGCTAGCAAAGTATATATGAAGCACCGAGACTTGAAAGGTTCATGTGGCACAAAACTTAGACTATGATTAATGTTTATGCTACACAATGTCATCAAACGCCACAAAAACTGAAAATGCATTTAAAAATAAACCAATATTTGTATAATACAGTATAAAAATACATGCATAAAAAGGGGCAAATACCTGGACAAATTATTTTAATTAACTAAAACAGAATTATTATCCAATTCATATTCAATATATATATATATATATCCTGTACACTATGTATAAGTATGTATTTATGTGTACATTATCAAATATTGTGCATGCACTAAGGACCAATATTTTATCAGAATGGGATATTTTCGGATAAAAATTATAACTTTTATACAGCAATAATCAGGATTTTTGTTAGTAAAATACATCCATAGTAAATTCTCACGATTTGAACACACACCAATGTTGCCGTGAAATTCACAAAATTGGTGTAAACAATATCAAGTCATAAAGATACATATCACTGACACGAAACAGTAAATCAATACTAAACCAATTATTATCAGTCACCAAAGTTAAGCAATTGAAGGACGAAATTAACAATGCAATCTAGCCGCTACTACGGATAGATGTCAATAGGCTTTCTACCAATAATGAGAACGACTTGATACAAGAGAACAAATTGCTCTCATACCACTGCAATTTGTGCATATTGTAATGAACAAATCCACAAGGGACGTGACGAGGATTCGACCCTGCGTCCGGGAGCATCCCAGACACTGCCTTAATCGTCACGGCCCTTGTGGATTTGTTCATTTGATGCATCACGTTATTGTGATCTCTGTGTGTGTGCATATTGTAATCTTTGTTAATCACCATCTTCAATTTTAAATAATCTACATCAACACTAAAATCCTTGTACCTTGAAGACCCATGATCCAGTTTCAGGGCGATATTCTATGAAGTTGGCATCCATTTTTACGCACTGACGTTCAAGGTAATCCCCCCACGACATGCTCTCGAGTCGTTCAGTCGATTTGATCACCTCACGTGTTGTCTTATCAATGGGCCACACACAATCTAGTGTGATCTGAAAAGACACGTAGGATATTAATGAATTATTATATCTTAAAAGAAGCATTCAACTGATTAATTAAGAGGTCAATGGACTTGTACATACACAAATTCATTTAATTTGTTTTGCGACTGAAGTGATTTCAAAAGTTTGAACAATTTCAAATGGTTTGAACAATGGAAGATGACGGCCCTTCAACCTTTTAAAAGTAAGTACTTATCAAAAGAAGGCATGAAGCTGGAGACTGTAGTTCAACCTTCTAAAAGTAAACATAAGAAATGTTGCCAAAACAAAGGTTTCAAGATGGAATAGATGAGGTGTGCAAAAGTTGCCTGAACAGATGAGTTGCAACAGCCATGCAAGACTAGAGGCTCCAACCATTAATAGCCTCACTGAACAGGGGCCAGATTCACAAAGCAGTTACGCCAGCACTTACGCACCTGTACATCTTTTCTCACTCTTTGGCGACTTTGTTTACAATTATTGAACAGTTAATGAGTTTCAAAGTACCAGGAGGCTGTTTCTAACAATAACAACAGTTAATTTGGGAAGTTTTCATGTTTGTAAACTGTTTAATAAATGTAACCAAAGCCGTCAAAGATTGAGGAAAGATGTACACGTTCATAAATACTTGCGTACCCGCTTCATGAATCTGGACCCAGGCTACCACTAACATAGCCTAGTCTCAGACCAGACTATAAAAATTAGAACTCTTGAAACTGGACACAGGTAATCCAGTGACTCAAGGTACTCGGTTAATTTTCTGCACACCAATCCCTGCCCCTTTACACCCCAACCTAAACATGAAGAATCTCTCCTACATTTTATTCGAAATTATGCTGAAGGTTCAAAACAACCATTCTAATTAACTCTCAGCAGTTACTGACATACATAAAATTATTTTGCAATACATTTATATTGTCCTCCGATTCCCGAATCCCATGAACCCAAAATATTTAAATTGACAAATCATACTTACAACAGCAGGTTTGTTAAGTTCCTGACCCTGACCAGGTTTCTGAGTGCCCTCAGGATACACCTCTATCTGCTTCCTCAAGATGAACACCACAGCATCCAAGTCAATGCTAGCTATGTCCGTCACGCCTAGGAAGCACACGTTGCCATAGCCATATCTTCCCACAGTGAAGTTCTCCACCAGACATCTTCCTTCGGAGTCGACCATCTCTCCGAGATCATCCAAGGAGGGAAGCGTGTAGTATCCGGAGCGAGTTAACTTGACACCTGTAAACAGAGACAAAGAGAGCACATTACCCTGCTCTCATCAACATTACTGTATCCTTATCCCGCTTTCAAGGTTAGGACTTCAGCTAAAAGAAGATAAGAGAAGAATATGTAGTAAGGGTTAATTAAAATTCCAGTTAGCCAATCACCATGCCTTCAGAAATAAACATGGAAAATACATGCCACCAACCACCTGCAAACATTTCACAGCAATATTTCCTCTTCGTATGGATATGTATCAAATAGCCATGTATAAACATGGCAAACATTTCCTCACTCCATACGTCAGGCTGCGAGCAGCCGCGTCCAACAGCCTGGTTGATCAGTCCGGCAACCAGGAGGCCTGGTCGACGACCGGGCCGCGGGGACGCTAAGCCCCGGAAGCACCTCAAGGTCAAGGTAACCTCCTAATACCTCCACAGACTCATTCTCTCCCACCTCTCATGATCTCACATCAACATACTATTCACCACTACTACCGGCGTGGAGGAGGCCTGGTCGACTACCGGACCGCAGTGACACTAAGCCCCGGAAGCACCTCAAGGTAACCTCAAGGTAACCTCAAGGTAAGGTGTGAACAAACAGTCTCAAAACACTATTTAATCCTACGATTCATCAACTTCTGCACTAGGCATCACTCCATATTTTTATCATTCCTTATTCTATTCTACTACTTTAGTTAATGCTTAATTAAATGATGCCAAACCTTTTTGTATTAACCTGAGATAGGCAGAAGCCTTTAGAAAAAAACATCCTGCATGAAGCAAACCCTTTAAAATAAAACTATATTCAGGGAATAAGGATTCAAGGCTTATTCCCCGCTCTCATATTTACCTAATGCAGTTACATTAATACTGAACATACAACAAAAATTATAATATACAAATAATACTAGAAATGTACTAACTCCCATATCATACACAATTATAACAGATCAAACAGTATTCACTGAATTGGTATATATTTAACAAAGCATCTTGGAGTACATCAATGTATCATTTAAAATTACATATATCAGGTCAGGTTAGAGTATTAGTGTCAGATTATAATGTATTGCATTCTAATAGATCAAGAATACAAATATGCAGAAAGTTGTGCCCAATGAGATGCATATTATCTCTACGATGTTTTAAATGCATTACACAGGTAGAAGAGATGTTAAAATGAGATATGTTCAATCAACTATTATAATCATCTAGCTTAACAGCGTTGGGACTTGCAAAAGTGCTCACTCACCAGCAGGATGTGGTTTATCGGAAGACCTATTAATGATCTCAGGAAGGTCTTCTTCATCTACAGAATTGAAGAGGGAAACATTATTCTCCTTGTTGGCCTCTGCATCCAGGTCAGTTTTATCGTGGTCAACTAAATCATCTGCGTCCGGATGGTCATCAGCGGGCTCCGTGACCTTCAAGTGGTTCACATTGAGGTCCACCAGTGTGTCGTTCATCTGCCCATGTTTGTCAACCAAATTAAGTCTCTTCACCTTGCTTCGACCCTGTCAAGGAAAATGATACCTCATTACATATTTTTCATTAGGGCATTAAATATTAAAGAATGGCAATATTTTGTATCAAAATGCAAACAGCTGAAAGATTTAAAAACAAAAGGATCTATGGTCCATTTTGCATCAAAACTCAAGAGAAACTATTCATAATGCTCACACTGTTTCAAATTCTCCATTTAGAGGAATCTTGCACTTTTATAAACGTACTAATGTATGAGGTAAGGTAATTATGTGGAGAAAGCACTAGAGCCAATATGACTATACTGTATAGCACTTGGAAGGGACATGAGGACAAGTATCCGAGATAAAACAGAGAAGGAATGGTGCCCAACCCCTTGGTTCATCAGGCACTGAACGCTGACCAGCAAGAAACGAGACTGTTGCTCTACCAATTACTCCAAGTGGTTGAGCACAATCTCTCACCATCAAGACAAAGGAAATGCAACACATTAACAGCCCCTGTGAAGCTCTTGATATAAATAAAATGGTAAAAAATCAAATTCCACATATATACAGTATAAAAGAGTCCACACGTGTAATAATCTCTCTAAGAGCAAACAGGAGAGCTCAGAAGTAAAAATCTATCCGATAAGAGACTGTTGCAGTGGCTGAAACCAGGAAAAGACGAACCCAAATCTTACACCAGCTTCAGATTTAGAGCTGTCAGTATAGGGTAGTTGCTTATTTACAGTCATCATGGGCCTAGATGCTATTTATCTATTCTCTATCTATCGTAGCCTCCTGGATATTAGCAGTACCCAGTTGTACTGATCTGAAACTTTAAATCAACTGCTTAACCTATCAATGTAAAGTCAAGTGACCCAAAGAAACAACCTGGCCAGAGCCGAAAAGCAAGGCCAGTCAGCTCTATCCAGACACCATTGAGGGTGACATTCTTGAGATGAGGTTATCTTGAGATAATTTCGGGGCTTTAGTGTCCCCGCGGCCCAGTCCTCGACCAGGCCTCCACCCCCAGGAAGCAGCCCGTGACAGCTGACTAACACCCAGTTACCTGTTTTACTACTAGGTAACAGGGGCATAGGGTGAAAGAAACTCTGCCCATTGTTTCTCGCCGGCGCCCGGGATCGAACCCAGGACCACAGGATCACGAGACCAGCGTGCTGTCCGCTCGGCCGACCAGGTGATATGCAAGAAATAGAAAACCCACTTCTGAATAGTGAAGTGTGTTGGTTGTGGATTTGGGGAGCTGGCAAACAATTCCCAAGTCCCCCACCTGAAATTAAAACACCAGGAGAGGCAGGTGCATATTACACAGATTATTTCCTCCCCAAGTGGAGCTTCATAGCTACCACCTGGAAATGGGACAAATGGAATCATCATAGACCGCAGAATAAAATTTAAACTAACCTTGATTATTTCTGGTGTCGGAGAATTATCGTGCGAGAGCGAACCACTAGTACGAAGTGTGGAATTGTCACCCAGGGAGCTGATAGGCGTGGTAAGAGGAGAGGGTGCATCACTACTTGAGTTGCCGTGCGCCCTCTCTGGCGTGCTGCCTAAAGAGGCGGAATCGGTTTTAACTCCTTTGAATACCTTAAGATTCAGTTTTCTGACACTGGGATATTTCTTGGGCTTTAGGAAATCTTCTGAACTTTCCTCGCTGGGGTCTTCTAGTCCTTTGAACAGCCAATGACGATCATTCCTGTGCGGAGAATAACTAAACAATTTTCACCATGAAATACACACAGGTTCATTATCTCCTAATCTTTGTAGTCATCTTCCACTTATAGCATAGACTCCCTCAGATCTTCAATCTACCTCCCTTTCCAATCTTCATCGTCAAAATCATTTGTATACACATTGCCGAAGGTTGTAAAGGTCTTCCAGCAGCAGTTTACAGTAGAGGTGGTGAGAGAGTGAAGGGGTGACATGGTATATGGATAGTGTGGGGCATTTAACAAAGAATATAAGAAATATCAGCAGACTGGGAAACATGGAGTAATAACAAAAATACAAATGAGAATTGGTCAAATAAGTGATGCCAGGTTTATTTTCCTGGGAAAATATGGGATGAACAAGGGGTGTTCTGGGGGTATGGGATGAACAAGGGATGTTCTGGGGGTATGGGATGAACAAGGGATGTTCTGGGGGTATGGGATGAACAAGGGGTGTTCTGGGGGTATGGGATGAACAAGGGATGTTCTGGGGGTATGGGATGAACAAGGGATGTTCTGGGGGTATGGGATGAACAAGGGATGTTCTGGGGGTATGGAATGAACAAGGGTTGGTCTGGGGTATGGAATGAACAAGGGGTGTTCTGGGGGTATGGGATGAACAAGGGTTGGTCTGGGGTATGGGATGAACAAGGGTGTTCTGGGGGTATGGAATGAACAAGGGATGTTCTGGGGGTATGGGATGAACAAGGGGTGTTCTGGGGGTATGGGATGAACAAGGGGTGTTCTGGGGGTATGGGATGAACAAGGGATGTTCTGGGGGTATGGGATGAACAAGGGGTGTTCTGGGGGTATGGGATGAACAAGGGGTGTTCTGGGACATGGGATGAACAAGGGTTGGTCTGGGACATGGGATGAACAAGGGTTGGTCTGGGACATGGGATGAACAAGGGTTGGTCTGGGCTATGGGATGAACAAGGGTTGGTCTGGGCTATGGGATGAACAAGGGGTGTTCTGGGACATGGGATGAACAAGAGTTGGTCTGGGCTATGGGATGAACAAGGAGTGTTCTGGGACATGGGATGAACAAGGGTTGGTCTGGGACATGGGATGAACAAGGGTTGGTCTGGGACATGGGATGAACAAGGAGTGTTCTGGGACATGGGATGAAGAAGGGTTGGTCTGGGCTATGGGATGAACAAGGGGTGTTCTGGGACATGGGATGAACAAGAGTTGGTCTGGGACATGGGATGAACAAGGAGTGTTCTGGGACATGGGATGAAGAAGGGTTGGTCTGGGCTATGGGATGAACAAGGAGTGTTCTGGGACATGGGATGAAGAAGGGTTGGTCTGGGCTATGGGATGAACAAGGGGTGTTCTGGGTCATGGGATGAACATGGTAGCATGGTATACACGAATGGTAAGACACTACACGAGACTGATCCAAAATTATACAGTAATTTGAAAAAAATAGATAACCAAAAATGCCAGCAATGCCGAAGGGATATAAAACGTACCCTTGGTTGTTGGCCTTATTTATCGGCTTTGGCTTCGGTTTGTTTGAGACAAGCGATGGAGAGAGAACGTAAGTGGGCTTCAGACTGGAGCTAGGCAACTTGGAGCTGCCTTGATCATTACTTGATGTACTGCTGCTTCTATCTGTGGCATAAAAAGACAATTATTATACCTAAACTTTCCTCCTCCCCCTCTCTCTCTCTCCCTCCTATGTTTTTAACTTCCTTCTCCCTCACACCTCTTTCTCACTTCTTTTCTCTTACCCATTCTTCCCCTTCCACCTTCCTCTACTCCTCCCGCACGTACCTGACGATGAGGATGTCGTGCTGCCCAACGGGATGTCGAAAATTGGTTTCTCCGTCATTGCCTTCACCAGCTTGCCCAGATCAGTGTAGATACCTCCTCCAGCATTGCCCATCATATTTAGCTGAGGCATACCAAATGCTGAAAACATGATGAATTCTATATTTTAGTATATTCTAAAGCTAATGACTAATAAATCAGCCCGTCCTCCAAAGTTGTCACATCACGAAAATTATGAACTATTTTTGCCCTTACCTAATTTAACCTAACTGAGGACCCACGAATCAAAAATATGACAGCCAGTTAATTTTTGTTAGCTGCTATGATTTAGAACATATATTTTGGCTGTTATATCATACATCAAAATGTGGTGTACTATTCGAGAGGGCAGTTGAATAACGAGCCTTTAAAAGGCATAATAGGCTGAAAATAATCTCCACATCCTATCCCAAAAAATACAATATACTACATTTCTGAACTACGTACTTCAACCGCATCTGGGTTTAGACGATACCCTTGTACTCTACCAAATAGTTTATAGTTCTGATTTATGCCCCACCTAAACTCATTCATATACATGTCAAACCTATGCTTGAAACAATCAAGTGATCCCACATCTATTGTGTTACAAAATAATTTGCTCTATATTTGTTATATATTTATATAGGAAGGGAGTACCACCTCTGGCTGGAAGAAGGGGACCCTTAGCCTCGGAGGAAACCACACATAACGCATTAGAGATGTATAGATATATATTTATATCAGGGAAAACACCCCTGTTTCAAAACCAGTATTTACTTACAGGACCTACCAGTTTCAAGAGCAAGTAGTAAATACAGTATAATCTTTTATACCTGTTAAAATTTGGCATTTACATACTGCCAATCACAAAACAATTGAAGGGAAGGAACTATCAGGAGAAAGCGTCAATCAATTATGACTATAGAGCACTTAGAAGGGATCAGGATAAGGATTTGGGATGGAACGGAAGATTGAAATGAGTGAAATTTAACCTGCTTTTAAACTTCATGCATTATATCCCATCAATTAAAAATTAAACAGTGCAGAGTATCTCTAAGTAACAGACTTTATAATTGTTTTTCTCGGAGGCACAAAGGAAGTACATAAGAGTATAGCACACAACGAACTTACTTAATGTGCATAACAGCTGTGCTAAGTATATCCCTTTCCTAATAAATAAACATTTACAATTAAACAAACTTGAATGCTAATAATAATATATAATTATAATCTTGATTTACAAGAAGATACAATGGGTTTGTGAGATTACACAAGATTGGTATTACAACACACACACAGATCACACTAACGTGATGCATCAAATGAACAAATCCACAAGGGCCGTGACGAGGATTCGAACCTGCATCCAGGAGCATCCCAGACACTGCCTTAATCGACTGAGCTATGATTTGTTCATTGGTATTACAAGTGTGTAATATTTTGCAAGTATTACACACTTGCAAAGCCATTTACACACATAGCGTCTTGGGCAGTATTATAATATTATAATGTTAAGCACAATTTTGATTGAAAAGACACTTGGACATATAATGTTGCTACGTACCCGAGTTCGTGTTGAGGAGACCAGTGCCGGTCATGCCGACATTCGTGTTCACGCCACTGGGATTAAAGAGGCCAGTTCCGGTGTTTGTGCCCAGCGTTTGTCCCATGGTATTTGTGCTTCCAAACTGACCAAAGGAGATCGCACCACCAGGCTTTTGCTGATTGTTCGTCTGCCCAAAGAGACCCGTGCTCCCAAAACTAGAATTGTTGTCTGAAAAAGGTAAACAAATTTATCAGCAAATTAACTTCACATTTTCATTAAAAAATAATACTTAGCACTTGATGCCCTTTGTACTAATTTGCATTTTTTCATACTAAAATATTTTTTTTTTGGGGGGGGGAAGGGGTTTGGCAAGATAAATTGATTTCAACTATGTTCAGATATCAGGGGGCTATTATTATTATAAAGCTTTTCATGATGTTTACAGCACTAGGCAGACAGCCACAGCACTCTGCCAATGTTTGGTCCCCTCTAAGCATCTTGAAATGACTTCTCGTGTTCCTTCACAAAATAAAAATAAACTCGTAGAATATGATTAATTTACAGGACAGTGACCAGGATTCTGATAACAGCAGCATTGTGGCTAGAATTAGCGATGTGCATCGTATGCTGGTATGAGGAATCTTGTCAAGCGAGGTACCATCGTTTGGAAGTGGTGTATGGAGGCCGCTATGCTGCTTAGACACACAATAACATTCATAACAGCTAAGTGTCTCATAAAAAAATGCAAGCCCTCTAGCCTTGATTATAACACTGAAGTCTAAACTCAAGACATTCACGTAAGGATTGATAGACTTATTTACACTACTTGATAAGAGTATTCAGATGAATTGCTTTTCAAATAAATTAACTTACTAAATCCAGAAAATATTCCTGTCTTATTCTGAGTATTCTGGGCCCCAAAGAGCCCCCCTCCTGCACTGGTGTTAGTGGCCTGGCCAAAAGGGGTTACAGCCGATGTGGTGCCGAAGCCTGTAGAAAGTGGTTGGGTTATGCCAGCTGGTTTACTGCCAAAGAGACCTCCACTTGTGTTCTGATTGGAGAGGAATCCTCCAGGTTTGTTCTGATTACCAAAAAGCCCTCCAGTATTCTGAAATAAAATGGCACAGTTAATAAAAAGGTACATAACACCAGTATCAGCTTATACATATTGAAACTATTACATACTGTGCATGTGGTGATATAGGATATGAAATCAGATGAAAATAGCGCGTTCCTAGGTTCTACTCACTGCGATAGTAGTGACAGTAATAGTAAAGCCGGCAGAACAAGAGGAATAAAAAGACTATTGCCAGCCAAGAAAAAAAAAACTGGCACCAAGATCCATGTCAGAGCCACCAAGACAAGGGAGTAAGGAAGAGCGGATTGCATTTTCTCGAGACAGAATAAAAAGCCTTTAACAGCATCCCCCTATAACAGATAAAAAAATTGAGAGGCAGGCAAGAATAACCGAGAAGGTACTAGACAAGGTAAGCAAATACCTGATAGAAAGGAAGCAGTCATAGTGTGAGGAAATGTAAGGATGGAGGAAGTTAGTAAGCAGTCATAAAAAGGACCCTCATGAACAAATATGAGGGATGAGGACCCTCATCTTATCCAGACCTTACCTTTTTACAGACCAAAACCTTATACATGTAATTGATCTACCCAAAGAGGCAAGATCTCACTTGACAATGTTTGCAAATAATGCAAAGCTAATGAGAAGAGTAATGCGTGCAGAAGATTGTACAATATTACACCAGGATCAATGGAAGCCAAAAGCTTGATTAGAGAAATGGTTATGGAGTTCAATCCAGGCAAGTGCAAAGTAATTCAGTTTGGGAGCGAGGATAAAAGGACAGAAGGATGATACATGATAAAAGCTAATGCAACAGTCAGAAAAAGCAAAGAGAAGAACCTGGAAGGAGCAGACACACAGTAATGCCAGATACATATAATAAAAGAGAGCAGCAAAATGTGCAGAATTGGCAAAAGTTAAAACCACTATCAGTAGCCGAACCTGCTGCTGAGTAGTCTGGCCTAACTGGAATCCACCGCCAAGGCCAAATCCCGACGTCTGCTGCTGCTGTGGTGTAGAGCCAAATAGGGACGGAGAAGTGGTAGCAGTACTGCCAAAATTAAACCCAGTGCTCTTTTGTTGCTGCTGCTGCTGCTGTGTGTTGAAGGAGAAGCTTGGGTTGGATGCTGTACTCGTTTGTCCAAAGGCAGGAGTTGTTGCAGTCGATCCAAAAAGGCTTCCACCAGTAGGTGTACCAAATCCTGTTAAAAAAAAAAATAACTGGTTAAATATTTATATTATTTTCTTGTTATGTTATAAAATTATTATATTACAAATTTATGGTCAAGAATAGTGTAAGTGAGAAACAAATATTTTAAGTGATTGGAGTAATATAGTAGGAAATATTGACTTAATAAAGTAAGGTCAAGCACTGGGGCATAAAGCCATTCAGCACTATGTTCCCAGAGGACATATGGCATTAAAACAATGATAGATAGAAAGAAACAGACAATAATTATGTTGTAAATCTCAAAATGTATTCTAGGTTTCTTACCCACCAATACAAAAGAACAAACCAAGAAAGAAACCAAATAGATAACGCAAAAAATGTAACTAATTAAAACAAACCAGTCGAAGTTCCACTACCAAAGAGTGTCTTATTCTCTGGAGGTTTGGTAGATGAAAATAGAGATGTGCCACTGGTGGTGCCGAAGAGCCCCGTGCCGCCGAGCTGAGGCTGCGCCGCTTGCTGCTGTGTCTGACCAAACCCAGGAATGGTTGTACCCTGACCAGGTCCCTTCCGATTGGCAAGATAGTCTTCAACACGTAATTCTTCTAGTGACTTGTTTTCATACTCCTGAGGATGAAACAAAATATATAAGGGTTTCCAACAAATTCATCCCAGGCATCAAAACTCAGTTTTGCAGACCACGTGCAATTATTTAATAATAAAAAATTTGCAACAAAACATTTAATGCTGATTAGTTCACAACTCAATTTTAAAAATAGGTTACAGCCAAGGGTCAAGTGTACCACAATAAAATACAACTCCTTGTAAAAGATAAAATAATAACTTCAAAATACAGTACTAGCTCCACAGATGGTTCTTCAATGATTACAGATCAATGATGTTGGGATAAGTATAAAGTGAGCAGAGAATAAGTCACAATAACGTGGGTGACACAAATGACCCGACCCCCCACACATGCAATTCAATGAAAAGTGACACTGTTTTGGTCAATTCAGGAGGCTTATTAAGGTGCATACAGTGGTAGTTGTACTTAAACCATTAACAAAACAGACAATTATAAAGGGCATTCGGCTTTATGCCTTGCCTGTCTTCTGTACTGCCAAAGAAACCTCAGCACAGATGCTTTTATATATTTTGACATTAAGTATTATTAATAAACAACTTTGTCACAAGACACTTAACCTATGCATCGGAAAATAAAGATGGGGGGGCGACAACATTTCGGTCAGTCCTAGAACATAATCAAGCCGTGTCCAGGATGAACAAAACCATCGATGCTTCCTTTATTTTTAGACGTGACTTACTGTCTACAGACTGCCCTAAGTCAAGAACACAATTGACATAATTAATTTTTAGATAATGCCAGAAGAAGAAGAAGAGCAATTTGTAGAATGCGCAATGTAGCACAGACAACGACAGCCGAGAAGTCAGCAGCAGCATCAACAGAAACATACCTCGAGTACGTAACATTGTATCAGACACTGGTACAATACTTACTTTCATAGTAGAGATGACTTCAATTTTTGTGCGAATGCTTGTCGAGACCCCATTTCTGGTCATGGTGTCGCTGCCAGTTACCGGTTCATACTTGACTGTTGTACCACTCACACCACCGGTTCCACCGAAACCAACTAGAAAATTAAATCATGTATTAAAAAAATAATATCCCTTAGGACTATGTAAATAATAAATATTACTTACACCATTATACTAATAGTTCATTTACACCATTTATGGATCATGCCCCATATGAATTCAAAAATTATTATTATATTTATAAATACAACTTAAGGGGGTGGAGGGTGGATCCTGAGAAGTACTGGCAATGAACTTGAGATCTGTTTTACCAGTCAGGTTCTCCTGCTAGTTTTCAATCATATGATCAGTTGAAATATAAATTTGTGAAATTCGCCCACCGAAAGTGGAGGAAAATAAGGGTACGAATGTTAACTCCTTTAATCTGGCTCCACTCATGTTTTTAATCACTTTCATAGATGAATGAAACATTAGGACAGACAGACATAGCAAGCAATTTTTAGTCCCTTATTAAAAAATAATGCAATGTAAAAATGCCTTCTGAAGGCCTTTTCTCCAGTTGCAATGAATTGTGGTTTGGTGCCATATAGTTTGCCAAATTGAGGTTGCACTGTATATGGTCTCAAAAGGCTGGTTTTGTGTGCAGGATAAACATATCAATTGTGACACTAGCTCCCCATATATATATATATATCAATTGTGACACTAGCTCCTCATATATATGTCAGATGCTTAATTTAGGAACTATACTTGTGGTCGGTCTCAAGCCCATTGCCGATGCGACGATGTACATTAAATATTGTAACAAGCTCATCAAGACCGTAACTACCTTAGCTAAATGAATTGTGGGGTTCAGTCCCAGAGTCCATTATGTGCCTCTGTAAACCTTTCCACTACCGCCCACAAGATGGGTATGGGGTGCATAATAAATTAACTAAACTATCTAAAAAAAACTTTTAAAAGCTATACAGGAACTATTATGAATAATGGTTTTAAAAAATAATCATTAATCTATATGGATATCATACAGTAAAAACAATTGTATATATTTACCACCAGTGTTGCATACAGCAAAACAACTCTATACATATTGCCAGTGTCGTAAGCAGTAAAAACAAATGTATATATATATACATATTGCCAGTGCTGTAAGCAGTAAAAACAAATGTATATATATACATACTGCCAGTGCAGTAGAGTAATAAACACTGTCAAGTTTAGACGTACCACCAGTGCTAAAGAGGCCCCCTCCAGTTGCAGGCTGTGTAGAGCTGAAGAGCCCGCCAGCAGTGCTGGTGCTGCTGGTGATAGTCTGACCAAAACCAAAGGGGCGATTCTGAGTGGACTGCTGCGCTCCAAAGGCACCAGTAGTGGTGCTTCCAAATAGACCTATGAGAGGACATTATATAAGTAGATACATTCATTTAACATGTATTTTGAAATAAAGTTCCCCATTACGAGAGGCACTTGGGTTGGTCCCCTGAGCCACACCATGTGACTCAAAATACATAGCACTATCTGACTCAGGGGGCCCAATCGAGTCTAGGAATGATTTTAATGGTCTTATTCTGCAAGTTCAGAGGTAATGTAAAGCTACAACTACCCCCCCCCCTCACTGCAGTCACTGCATACACCTCACAGCAGCCGGTGTACACCTCATGGCTGCCACTGTGTACACTTCACTGCAGTCACTGTGTACACTTCACTGCAGTCACTGTGTACATCTCACTAAAGCCACCACGTACACCACGCTGAAGCCAGCACATACCCATCAGCATAACTACCATATGCACTTTAGAACACTGAATATCATCCTTATTAAAGGGCACCCCAACTATTCAATATATAAAATATATATTTTTTTTTTATCTGTAAAAAAAAAATATTTTTTTGGGTCTAAAAACAAATATTTTTATATTGTCACAGTAATCTCCCTAGGAAGATTAGACCTGCTCCATCATCACCTATTCTACCACACCACATCTACATATTCAAGAATTACAGCAAGAACATCATCTAGTGCTCAGACGTCTAGACAGTGGACTACTCTCCCCTACTCTCCAGTTCCCGTGACCCCCAGCACACCTGGTGGCGGCAAGCTGTCGCCACCGGCCAGCAACAAGCATTCTGCTAGTTTGTCTCTGCCGGCTCCCAGTTATCGTCACATCAGCGCCACCTACATTGGTCTAGTCCCATATAAATAGAAGCCGGCCAACCACCATCAGCAGAATACTCTCTCGTGCTCTACCTGCTGGACCTACCCTCACACTACCTTGCGTGGTAGTAGATGTACGCAGCCTGGCATATAGCATTTTCAGCACCATTTTATTTCATGTTCTCTAACGTAACGTTAAATTGTCTGTTTGATTGTTTTGTTTTGATTGTTTTGCACCCTGTAAGTAAGTCACGTTTTTAAGGAATGATTTTCAGTCTTGTTATTTATCAAAGTTAATTTTTCATATTAAAGTATTCAAATTTTTCATCTTCATATGTTTTATCCTGCATTTACTACACCGTGAAGAAGTCAACATAGTTTTATTTTAATTTGTTTTTACTTTTTTTTTGTTTATATGTTCGTGGCCTTCCATCTGCCCTAAGCCATCTCTTAGTGATTTTACCATAACAATATATAAGAATATTTTTATATTTAAAAATATATTTTTATATATAAAATTCCCTACTCAGCAAAGCTACATTGCTCTCCATCGACACACAAACTGCTTCAGCAGTAAAATCCTTGCACCATCTTGTCCTTAGGATTCAGACAAATCTAATGATTAATCAAATCTATATCATTAAACTTATCTACAGTACTTTGTGTAGTATACAGACTGTACCTGTAATATTTGTAAAAAATTTATGCTTGACCAATGTTTACAGTGTCTCAGTGAATTGCTCTATTCCATTAATGCATATTTTCACCAAGCAAATTTAGCCTAAATCGTTTCCCACTAAGATAACAACCCCACCGGTCAAGGGAGAGCCGGGAGCCGGTCGGCCGAGCGGACAGCACGCTGGACTTGTGATCCTGTGGTCCCGGGTTCGATCCCGGGCGCCGAAGAGAAACAATGGGCAGAGTTTCTTTCACCCTATGCCCCTGTTACCTAGCAGTAAATAGGTACCTGGGTGTTAGTCAGCTGTCACGGGCTGCTTCCTGGGGGTGGAGGCCTGGTCGAGGACCGGGCCGCGGGGACACTAAAGCCCCGAAATCATCTCAAGATAACTTCAAGATAACCACCAACATAAAATAATTATGAGAAATTGGACCTTAATTTCAACCATTTTGACATTGATCTGTTTTAGTGGAATTATAAATTACAGAGAATCATATACTGTACACACCAGTGCCAGTTGGTTGCTGAGTCTGGCCAAAGAGTCCTCCGCCACTAGTGCCAAAACCAGTACTCGGCTGACTGAAACTAGTCGAGGTTTGTGTGGGCTGTTGCTGTCCAAACAGTCCTCCGCTAGTCTGCTGTGGCTGTGTCCCAAACAGAGACGTACTGGAGGTTGGAGCAGCTCCAAATGGAGTCGTTGATGCTCCAAAGCTTGTTGTCTGTTGCTGTGGGCGAGAAAATAAACTATTAAAATCAAAGTGATGTCATTATTGTCACCCATTCCCTGTTTTGCATTTTCATGGGGAGAGGCAGCATTAGCGTGGGAGGAACAGGAGGATGGTGGGTGACTAACATAGTGAATGAAGCAATCAACAAGTGAAGTGCACTCCAATGTGAAAGCCACCTACATCCAGAACTTCAAAGTAGATAAACAGAGCCTGAACATTCAGAGGTTTAACAAGTGCATCAGATGAGCATCTTATTTCTTCTCTAACTCTTAAATTTACTCTTGATACATGCTGATCACCAGTCTGCCATCATCCATTCATTGACCATGACCAATCCATCTTGGTACACTTTCCTTAATAGTGCAGTACCTGTACATTGATTACAACTTCCCTCATTTTAAATCCCAATTCTATCTGGTCTAAATTGTATATGCCAGTCAGAGTATCCACTCCTATGTCTCTAACTTGTGATTTTTACACTAACACGACCCCATGTCCCATGCATTCATGAGTGTTGTCACTGCCACTCACTGTCGTCACTGAATAGATGCAGCCCTTTGGGTGCATCTATTCCTCTCTTGATGTTTTCTAACCAGGGCTTTCCCTGCACCAGCCACTTTCCCTCCCTGACTTACCCTATCCTCAACTTTGACTACACAAATTACCCCATCACCAGTCACCCATTCCAGGTATTTAAACTAACCAACACCTTTTAGGACTTCACCATATAGTCATACTGACTAAGCACTTTCGTTTTATAATTACCTTACCTTCTAGCACTTCACCATTACTAATGACCTGCCAACCCTCAACACTACCATAACTTGACTTCCGTATAGTGGTCTACATAACTCACAGTATACCTGGAATAGGTTTTGGGAGTTGTTCTACTCTCCAAGCCTGGCTTGGGACCTGGCTTGACTGTGGTAACTTGGTCCAACAGGCTGTTGCTTGGAACTGTATTAACAACATAGATGAAGCCTATATACAAGGTTTACACCCAGCTTCAATAATCCCACATTGCCCTCATATAACATTATCACACAGGCCATTAAATAAATAATAAATTACACCACTATTGTACTAATAATACAAAATCAAAAGAAAGTTACAGGAAACCTCTCAAAGCTGAAAACTACGCTGGAAGACTAAAAATATATAACCATGTATATATTTATATATGCGACTGTGAATCTTACCGTATTTCCAAAGGCTGAACGCCCAAATGTAGTAGCTCCGAATCCGGTAGTACCGGTTGTGGTGCTGGGGGTTCCAAACCCGGTGCCGAAAGTTGATGTGGTGCTACCAAACGGAGCAGCACGTTGTTGCCCAAACATCTTTTCCTATTGGTGAGGATTTCTGCAACATTAATAGCAGCAAATTGAAACAACCAGCCAACGGGTTCTTTTGGAACGTTCAGCCAACGTTCTATATACTATACATTGTATATATATAATGTATAGAGTATTTCAAAGTTATACATAGTTAACACCACCTTTGACACACGAGTACAACTTCGTAGAATGGAAAACTAAATAAATAAAGTGAGAAACAATGAAAATAAATCAACAAAATTATTGAAAGAAAAAATTTTACTTGATAATGATCTAAAACGGACTGAAATGTCATCGTTCTCTTATTTTCAAGTGTGGCTTAGTCTACAACAAAATTATTCCTGTAACACCCCCCCCCCCTCCCACCTCATTTCTACTAAAAACTTCCAACCTCTGCAGGCCCCTAGAGTTAAACCATAAGACGTACACACTTTACGAGTTGGATTTTCATACTTCCAGAATGTTAAATGAAAAAATAATTTTTTCAGAACAATTTTATTTTGTACATTCGCAGGGGGTTAAAGAGGCCAATTGAAAGTCAAATGCCAATCAATAATTAAGTATTTAAATCTGTATTAACACACAGGATTTCTAGTTTCATATAAATAAACATTATTAACTAGCAGCTATGCAAACTAAACAGCTGTTTGCATAGCAACCCAAAGCAAGCATTCTATAATAGAGTAAAATCTGCAGAAACAGCCAAGCTTAAGCTCACTGAAGCTCTATACCGTAACTATATCTATCCTGTCATACGTCAGGCTGCAAGCAGCCGCGTCCAACAGCCTGTTTGATCAGTCCAGCAATCAGGAGGCCTGGTCGACAACCGGGCCGCGGGGACGCTAAGCCCCGGAAGCACCTCAAGGTAACCTCAAGGTAACCTCTTGGCTGCACAGACTCAACTTCGGAAAATATGGTAGGGTCGTCGCACACCTCATAATGTACTTCTAGTACATTATCAGGCTTGAGATAATGTACTTCTAGTACATTATCTCAAGCTTTTTTAACTACAGTACATGGCACACTACCAGTACTGTCAAAATCCTCAAAATGATTTACAAGTAACTTACCTGAAGTCAGTTTCAAGAGTTTACTCTTTGCCTAGCATGATCTAAAACTTGGCCTAGAAACGTTCTCAAATACCTAAATAAACATACTGTACATAAATAATATAAAACAAGAGAGAAAACAAGGAGAAAATACACAAATAAAAAAAGAGGGAGGGAGAGTCTGCAAACAAGTCTGAGACAAAAATACTCATAGGCTATGAAAAAAAAAAAGTTCCGCAAATGGAAGGCAATGAAGGTGTAGAAGCCACCACACTCAACTTAAATCTCTTGAGATTTACAAAGCATTAGATACAAACAGCTAGGAGGTTCAAGTCCAAATTAGGCTCATCATACGAAGTGACTTTGGTTTAAAAGTCTCAGAACGGCAGCATATTTACCGATACCGCAAGACCACCTATCACACAGATTTGTGTTCCGTGAGTTAGCAAACAGAACAAAATAAGCTTACCTTACGTTCAAAGTAACAGCTTTTCCTTGACGTAGTGACGAAATTTCCAAAGCTGCTTCCAAAATTGTCCACATGAAGACTCTGCAATATAAGTATCTTCTTGAGTAAGTAATCAAGTAAATTGTATTATAAGTACAGTATTCCTAACATACATTTGTACAGAAGGATTTAAAACTAAATTTCATTAAGAATTCCATACGTTTACAAGTACATGGTAAGAATTTCAATGGTTTTATAACAATTAGACAGGCAATATAAATTTATTCTGGTGACTAGCTTTATCCCAGGAAAGGTTAGGTTGCCAATCCTCTGCCACCTAGTTACTGGTATCTTGAGGTTATCTTGAGATGATTTCGGGGCTTTAGTGTCCCCGCGGCCCGGTCCTCGACCAGGCCTCCACCCCCAGGAAGCAGCCCGTGACAGCTGACTAACACCCAGGTACCTATTATACTGCTAGGTAACAGGGGCATAGGGTGAAAGAAACTCTGCCCATTGTTTCTCGCCGGCGCCCAGGATCGAACCCAGGACCACAGGATCACAAGTCCAGCGTGCTGTCCGCTCGGCCAACCGGCTCCCCGACCGGTATCGGACACAATGTTATTGATGTTTACAGGGGCCTGAAAATACTTGATAAAAATTGACTAAAAAATGATCACAATCTACTTGAGAATGATCTAGGTCAGACCGAAACATCATCGTCCCTTCACTTTCTAGTGTGTGGTTTGGTCAACATATTTCAGCCACGTTATTGTGATTCCTCATCTGCATAGTTATATAAAGTTTAAAGTATCCGGGAAACTTACAATATGGATCAAAAGTAGCCCTTTTCTTATAAAATGACAAGAATGGATATTACCCAAACAATTACAGCATCACAATTCACAGCATCTACAAGGTGTCCAAACACCTGCATTGGTATCAACACAAGAGCTATTTTACCGGATTCCTACATAACTACGGCAATACAAACATGAACAGTATGTTTATAATACTGTATAATGATAACTTGGTACAACGCTGTGCTTGAAGCGGCATGCCACTTTGCCCGAAACGCTATGCGAATTAGTGGCTTTAGTTGCAATGTACTAGCTCTATCTATAAATCCAACATTATGTTGGTAACTCTTGTATGTACTTTTACTTGAATAAAAATTTGAATTTTGAATTTGAATATTCATTAGAAACCAGTCGGTCTGGCACTTCTTGCAAGAATACACTCAAAACGAGAAAGCACAATTTATTTGAATAGAACTAGCATTGTGGAGGAATCCCAAGATTTGAACACTCATTATCCATCATAACCTTTTCCTGGCTGATACTATATTTTCTTTGGTTATGCTAAATGTTGAGTCATCAATATCATTATTCTCAAATCATTTACAAGTTGCTTTCCTTTTATGAAGAGATATGATTGTCTAGAACCCTGGTTGATGGGGTTCTGGGAGTTCTTCTACTCCCCAAGCCCGGCCCGAGGCCAGGCTCGACTTGTGAGAGTTTGGTCCACCAGGCTGTTGCTTGGAGCGGTCCGCAGGGCCACGTACCCACCACAGCCCGGCTGATCCGGAACTTCTCTTAGAAAACCGTCCAGTTTTCTCTTGAAGATGTCCACGGTTGTTCCGGCAATATTTCTTATAGATGCTGGGAGGGTGTTGAACAACCGCGGACCTCTGATGTTTATCCAGTGCTCTCTGATTGTGCCTATGGCACCTCTGCTCTTCATTTCCACCTCTGCCCTGCATTTCGTTTATGTTCTTCACTTTTACCATATTAGTGCTAGTGCTGTACCTGAAATTTATCACTGTTAAACATCATGTTATTTTCTGTTGCTCAGTTGAAGAGTATATTTGTATCAGCTTGTAGTTTTTCCATGTCTTCTAACAGTAGTAATTTTCTTGATTTTTGAATTGTCTGCAAAGGATGACACAAAGCGGTGACTTGTATTTTTATCAATACAGTATCTGGTATGAGAGAAAAAGCAGTGGTACAAGGACTGTACCCTAGGTTACAGAGCTTTTTAAGGTGCTTGGACTTGATTTGATTTGACTGACTGTTACTATTTCCATTCTGTTTAACAAAAAATTGAATATCCATCGCCCTACTTTACCCATTATCCCTATTCATCACATTTAACAAATGCCTTTGCAAAGTCCTTGTATACAATATCCTCATTCACTCCAGTACTGCCATGATTTTGTCATCGCTAGATAATTGCAAAAGGCAGGATCTATCTGCTCTAAATCCATACTGACCTGGTTTGTGAAGTTCATTGTTCTCCATAAAATTGGAGATTTGGCTCATCACCTTTTCAATAACTTTGATCATGTATAATGTTAGTGTGACTGGTATATAGCTTTCAGGCAATGCTTTGCTACTTTCCTTGTGTAGTGGAGCTATATGGATTATCATAGTGCCATTTTAGGGCAAATCTTCGCTTGTGATTCATACCATAACTTTTCCAATCAACTTGTATATAATTGTTATACAGTACAATACAGTGGTGGCTCGGTTAATGAATTTAATCCGTTTCAGCACCGAGCTTGTCATGGGAAACGCTCGCCTTGCGAAACATATTTCCATCAGACGTCGGAGGTGTCCAAGAATTTGCGAGAACCAGCGGGAACGCTAGGAAGCACCACGTGGGTTTCTCGTTAACCGAGTGGAAGCTCGTCAATCGAGACAAATTTTCTGCGAGTGGCCCACTCGTTACCTGAAATGCTCGTAGATGGAGTTGCTCGTCACCCGAGGTTCCTCTGTACAGTATTTTGTTTTTTTTCCTACTTTTAACATTACTAAATTTTTGTATTCGGTAACTGGAGATTGTACCCTACAGAGGGATCATTTTTATTTGTTTAATATGCTGGCATTTCACTATGAAAATAAGAATACTCATGGGTTTCCTTTTAATAACAGGTGGTGGTGGTCAGATATAAACTACAGTACACAGTACATTTTACGTGAGCTCAATACAACAATTATATTTCTAATCCTGATTTTAACCACACTCAGTCCAGGATTCTTTCAAATTTATCCACAGACTGAGCATATAAAGACGCCATGACAAACCATTCCAGCAATTAACTACCCAATTGAAAATAAAAGTCCTGCATCATCGCTATTCCTTACCTTACTCTAAAGAGCTTCTTTGTACAAGTTTCCATATTCAACATGACTTCAATGGATCATAGCTTTCCTTTTCTTCTGCCATCTCTTAATTTTTTCATACGTATCTCACTACTAAATCCTTTTCCAATGTTATCATTCTTACTTCCATTTCTGCCTCTTTTCTTTTTAGGGGTGGGGTCAAGTTTTGTAGGCGAGTTTTGTAGGTTACTAGTGTGAGTGAGGATCTCACTAGTAACCATATACAGTACCAATGAAGATGGTCAATTCATCAAAAACTTGTTGATATCTGCCCAAAACGCTATGCGTGTAAGTGGCTTTACAAGAATGTAAAAACATCAATGATATGTACTCTCATAAACCCAATGTACCTTCTTGTATATAAATATATAAATAAATAAATAACATAAACAAATAAATATCCATATTAATTTTTGTACAAGCACTCTGATGCTACACATCACAGAGATGTGTACCCCCATCTGACTTTACCTATACCATGTTCCACATCAAGTGACCAAAACTCCTGTTATTGTACTGTATTCTTAATAAGCTTTTAAATTACATAAAAAAAATACATCTATTTACTTGTGTACCCTATTGAAGTTAGACTAAAAAGTCTCCATAATAATTTAACCTTTCAATGTAATATATTGTCTTGCCGTATTCTATTTTTCCCCGAAAGATTTTTACAATCTAGTTTGACAGTATAAGACATAATAGTTCACTGTAGCTGTAAGATAATAAAAAACACGCGCAATAGAGAGTACAAAAGAATACGCTGTAGCTGCCCAACCCATTAAGAACAGTATTAAGGGGAAGGGAACTATCGGGAGAATGTGCCAAGCCATTACGACTATATCTGGAACGACTACGGGAAGGGATCGGGATGAAGACTTGTGAAGGGACAGGGGGGGGAAGAACAGTATCAAGTATCACCTTTTTATTCTCTATCATTTGTTAAATTTCTTGAGCATCTCACATGTGTCGGCTTTCTTTTCATTTAGGATTAAGCGTTTACCCCTTTACACCTATAACAAATTTAAACGATTATTCTAAGTTTTGCCTGAAACACTTTGCATATTACAGAAGTGGCTTTATTTAACACTTTCAAGGTTCAGCCTCTCCGAGCATTCCCGACTGTGAACGTTTTGGGCTTCCTGGAAGCTCATGAGACATTGTGACAAATTTTGTTTACAATCATTTAATATTTTCTAACTTATTTGTGGGTTTATAACAATAAATGACATGTCAAAATGTTCACAAATTAATTGTTTAGATACAAAACCAAAAGTATATTTATAATAGATTTTGGTCCTCTCTGCACTATGCCGAATGTAAACCTAGCACACTCGGCGGGTCCCACATAGTGATGCTTAAAATTGTTTTAATCATTTCAAGTTTTCTCGGGTTATGCGTAAATTTGGTATCAAGCTGTTCACAAATGTATTCTCTGGAGAACAGATGCAAAAACAAAATTGGATTTATAATAGATTATGCATGACAGTGATGACTATATGAATTTTCATAAATAACAATCAGTTGATGTCATTGAAACATTTACTGTTGGAGAATGCAAAAGTTTTAATACAGTATGCAACTCCCTGAATTCAGAGGTGAAGGGGGAGATTCTCTTAGCTCATAGTAAGCCTTACCCACTAGTTTTCCCTGGAATATGACCTGCCAATTAGTTAAGAACCTCCTGGGTGAATAGAGATGAACAGGTTAAAGATTCTTGAGGTTATCTTGAGATGATTTCGGGGCTTTTTTTTTTAGTGTCCCCTCCACCCCCAGGAAGCAGCCCGTGACAGCTGACTAACACCCAGGTACCTATTTTACTGCTAGGTAACAGGGGCATAGGGTGAAAGAAACTGCCCATTGTTTCTCGCCGGCGCCTGGGATCGAACCCAGGACCACAGGATCACAAGTCCAGCGTGCTGTCCGCTCCGCCGACTGGCTCCCCTTTGATTGATGTCCAGGTAATCCTCCCTGGCCAGGACTCGATCCTAGACACATCACTCATGAGACATTGGGCAAGTGCATTACCACTGCACCACCAAGGGCTGTTAAATCTATATAAATAGAGAATTAAAATTACCACAGCCCTCTTCTTACGATTTTGAGATACATTATACATCATTATTAGCCCAAGTATACAAATAATACAGTGCCGTGTGGGTTCAGATTCAATATACAGTAATACTGCAGGGAGCCATCAACCCCAGGGCTTAAGTAGCCAAGACGCATTCAACCCATGGATCATCGTCTCAAAAATAATCAACAAAATATCCACCATCTTTTAAAAAAGTATTGATAATTTAGATGATTCTCAAGCGATTCCTTAGAAAGAATCGCAAGAAGCGATTCTTGCAAGAAGATATCCTCCATGCAAGAAGATAATGTTAAATCTTAAGTTGGACAAGAATCCCTAAATATACATAAGAAATGCACTGCATTAAACTGTGTAGGCTTTAACATACATCTTGAACCTCTAAAAAAGTACAATCTGCAAAAAAAATGTGTTCACCGCAAAACAATATTTACTGTACTAAGGCAGTGCCGCCCATATTCTTAACCTAGCTGCCGGAACACTCTACGAACCGCCGGAGCACTCTACAGCTGCCGGAACTCTCCAACTAGTTATGAGCTTAGCCTATAAAACAAACTGAAGAAGTATAAATACCTGTCAAAACTTTTCAAAATTATTGGACCTCAATGCTTTTTAGAACAATAAAACTTCAAAACACGAGAAAAATTGAGAGATTAAACTCAATCCACCCTCGTGCAGCTGCACTGATAATTACATTATCGTTTACTCTACGCTGGGTTTAACAGTAACAGCCAACTTGGAACAAAGTTCGTCTCTCAAACTACAGCAGCAGAAATCTTGTAACCACACTACAGCTACTATAAAACCAATAATACAGAAAGCAATAACACGAAGTTGTTGCTTTAGACTTAGCTACTCAGAACGAAATGTCCAGGTAGCACGGGCTACGGTGAGCCCCGTAAGAATAGTCAAAGTCAATTTCTTCTTTTTCTATTCAAGAGACTCAAGTGTGGTGGAGAGAATCAGTGTGGTTAATGGGTTAACGTGGTGGTGGACCCTCGCACGAGGTGTGGTAGAGATAGACCCCGAGCCACTGTTTATAAACAAACTCACTTGCTTCATATGGTGCAAGTTTCCCCCTTCCTGATCAAGCCAGTTGTGACAGGTTCATACCGCATCAACCACACCTCGCCCCGGGATTCCCCGGCCACCACATGACTCACTAGATATAGATAATGACGCAGAAAGATAGTTACAAGACCACAAACATCAACAAATGATGTAAACACTGACGGCTTGCTGGAGGTCAGCGCGACAATTCAAAACTTCATTAATACTCTACCTTTCCCGGGGTCATAGGCCGTCTAGCCTTCATTAAACACTACTACAGGTTCACATGTGTGTTGTCTGCTTGCTGACAGAGGTCAAAATCCTCAGAAACTCACCCAAATTGCCTTAGTCAGCGATTGTTGACCAATACGAGGCTCATGTTTTGGGTTCTACTACAAACGACAGGAAATCCTCACCAAGGAAAAATTGACGCCATTTTCTGGCTTTCATATTAATTTAAAATTTCCCCTAAATATATTGATTTTAAATTGTATATAAATTACGGATCTTATTAAATAAAATACTATAATCCTTACTTTGTAGTATGTTCAGTAGATGATGTTAACGGATATATGGAGCGGGAATCTTCATAAAAATAAATTCTATGCAATATTATTAGTATATTAAATACTTGAAGGTAATATAGCTTAGGAATGGTGAACTCTACACCAGATATGTCATCGTCCATCATACTACAATGCAAAAACAGCTACAAATCTGGATTAATAAAATTAAAAAATTCATCGAGGGTAGATAATTTGCCTGAATTTACCTGAGGGCCACTATCTCTCTAATGGCCTTACTGGATCTTGTCCTCGACGAGGACAAAAGGCTTGTCAAAGGTTCCTCTACTTGTGCTGATGATTTATCAAGCTGGATTTTGAATTTCAGCGGTGTTTTCGCATTTACGGCTTCGGCGGGTAGGCGGTTCCGTGGGTTAATAACGCTGTAGGTGAAGAAGCATCTCATGTTCTCAGTTCGCCCAACCACTTGGCCTGGACGGTAGAGCGGCGGTCTCGCTTCATGCAGATCGGCGTTCAATCCCCAATCGTCCAAGTGATTGGGCACCATTCCTTCCCTCCGTCCTATCCCAAATCCTTATCCTGACCCCTTCCAAGTGCTATATAGTCATAATGGCTTGGCGGTTTCACCCCTGGTAATTCCCTTCCCTTCCCTGTGGCCCTCAACCGTTCCTGATACGAGAGATGACTTAACTTTGGAATAACTTTTGTTGCCCGGTGTTGCACTTTCATTTCATGGGAAAGAAACAATCTTTACTACATGACATCACCTGCAAATTATAGAAAGAAGGAAGGAATTATCAAGGAAAAGCGCCAAGCCATTACGACTATATAGCACTGGGAAGGGGTCAGGATACACGGGAGACATCTCCCGTCACGCAGGGTGCAGTCGCACCTCCACAGATCTCCAGTATCACCTCTTGATACTGGTAATGGCTCAAAAGGGCCACCACTTACGGGCAATTCATGCCCGTGCCACCTTTTGGATGGTTTAATCTTCATCAATCAATCGGTCAGGATAAGGATTTGGGATGGGACGGGTGGCAGGAATGGTGTCCAACCACTTGGACGGTCGGGGATTGAACGCCGACCTGCATGAAGCGAGACCGTCGCTCTACCGTCCACCCCAAGTGGTTGGACGGGTAGCAAACAAGTGGAATGCACTAAAAGAAGTTGTAGAAGCCACCTCCTCCACAACTTTAAATCCAAATTCGACAAAGAATTGAGCGTCAGAATAGTTCCATTGAAACAAAACAGGAACACCAAGCCTAACAGGCTTGACATGGAGAGCTAAAATCTTACCTCATGTAGACACTCTTAGGTAAGTACTTGAGAAAGAACAAGGGGCCAGATTCACGAAACAGTTACGCAAGCACTTACGAACCTATCCATCTTTTCTCAATCTTTGGCGGCTTTGTTTACAATTATTAAACAGTTAATGAGCTCCGAAGCACCAGGAGGCTGTTTATAACAATAACAACAGTTGATTGGCAAGTTTTCATGCTTGTAAACTGTTTAATAAATGTAACCAAAGGCGTCAAAGATTGAGGAAAGATGTACACGTTCGTAAGTACTTGCGTAACTGCTTCGTGAATCTGGCCCAAGATCGTTGCTATAAAGTCTGTTTCGCCCGGGAATCGAACCCAGGGCCAATATTCATCAAGCAGTAACGCAAGTACTTACTATACCTATACATCTTTTCTCATTGTTTGGCGGCTTTGTTTACATTTATTAAACAGTCTACGAGCATCGAAACTTCCCAATCAAATGTTATTATTGCCATAAACAACCTCCTGGTGCTTCCGAGCTCAAAAACTGTTTGATAATTGCAAACAAAGCCGCCAAAGATTGAGGAAAGATGTACACGTTCGTAAGTCATTAAACCGAATTCATCAAGCCCTACTTTATTTATTTATATACAAGAAGGTACACTGGGTTTATGTTGCCCCTAAATCAACAACATTGGGTTTATGAGAGTACATAGCATTGATGTTTTTACATTGTTGTAAAGCCGCTAACACGCATAGCGTTTCGGACAGGTCCTTAATCTAACAAATAATTTTAAGTAGGTAATTTGTAGCAAAATTTGAAGAATATTAACAGGTACATTGTAAGAAAATTTAAAGAAAATTAATAGGTACATTATAGTAAAATTTGAGGATTGAAATTGAAATTGAAATAAGTTTATTGAGGTTATTTGAGGATTATCAACAGGTATATTGAAACATATTTTGAGGATTATATCTAGGTACATTGAAGCAAAATTTATGTTCAACATAACAACCATGATATAAGATAGTTACTAACTTACTGCTTGATTCATCAAGCAGTAAGCCGACTCATCAACTCTTGATGAGTCAGAGTTGATTTGTTTTTGAATTGAGGCTAGTATTTTCTCCCATGATTCCATGTATGACTAACCATCCTGTAAATGGGATTATATTAGATAAACTTATAGCTAGTTTTTGATCTACACTGTGTAATCTTTCATATAGAGTAGGCTAGCAGCACATTGCTGTGTGCCGAAGCTTGTTAATAATACAAAAAAAAAAAATCTCAAAATTGGCGGGAACGGTTGGCGGCCGGTCGTGATGATGTGAGCAATTACCGATCGTTGGCATAAAACAGAATTCATTTTTTAAAACTAGCTGCGGTCACAGTTTTTTAGCGCTTGGCCCCGTTATAGTCGCTTTTTATTCTTTCAAATATATCTGACGTTTTACAGGTATCTGCTGGATATGCTGCGTGCGGTAGATATATTTATATACTGCAGTATGCTTTAAAAACCTGAACAATTTGGAGGATGTCGATCCGGACAATTTCTTCCAAAGGTCAGATATAACACGAACGAGGAGCAACGGGTTCAAACAAGCCACAATGTTGGACTGAAAATAGATGTTTTTTCACCCATAGGGTTATAAATCTTAAAACCGCCTACCCGCTGAAGCCGTAAATGCCAAAACTTTGCTGAATTGCAAAATCCAGCCCGATAAAATCATCTGTACAAATAAGGGAACCTTCGGCAAGCCGCCGGCTTCCTGTCCTCGTCGAGACCACTAGAGAGATAGTGGCCCTCAGGTAAATTCAGGTAAATGTTAACCAATAAGTAAGATAACACATTTGAATGGTTAAACAAATTGATTCAACAATTTACAATTTTTAAATGATATATAATAATGAAAGGCATAGGCTATTTCAGCATCTTTTTCCTTTCACATGATGCATCTATTCACCTAACAGTCAAATATTTACCCAGGAGTTAAACAACTGTTGTGGGTTGAATTCTGGGAAAGGTCAGAAATCTGGGGTATGTGGGGGGGAGGAGAATATGTAAATAGAGGACATTAAATATGGAATTTTACGGGCTATTCATGCCCGTGCCACCTCTTGGGTGGCTTAATCTTTATCAATCAATAGGGAATTGGGACATTACATTGCGAACAGAGACCTCGCATGTGGGATAGATATTTTCCCCATGCAACCAGAAATTTAAACAGGGTGGGGGGGCCTAATTTTAAATGGGGGGGGCACGTTTAAGGGGGTGGACTGTGCCCTCATAACCTATTAACACACAAAGCGTCATCCACCGTTCGGTATTTGCAAATATATTTTTCGATGATTTTTGCTCAGGTATCTATAAAGTGTTCGACAATTGCCTTACACGCGCGTTACTGACCCACACTAACGGCTAGTGATCATATGGCTGACGCAAGCACAGTTTCTTGAATATAAAACATTGAAGTTTTTCGCGCCAAAAAATGCAAACTCAAATATTGTAAAGCCTAATTACACACAGAGATCACACTAACGTGATGTATCAAATGAACAAATCCACAAGGGCCGTGACGAGGATTCGAACCTGCGTCCGGGAGCATCCCAGACACTGCCTTAATCGACTGATTGAAATTGAAATTGAAATAAGTTTATTGAGGTAAAATACACACAAAGGGATGAGGTAGCTCAAGCTATTCTCACCCCGTTCAGTACATCGTGTTA